AATTCATGAAACGGGCAGGTAAACCAGATACCGACACATTACAACTGCCATGTTATTAGTTGGATACGTGTGAACTGCCGTGACGGGGAGATCCATGATTCGAAACTTAATTTCGGAAACAGGTCATCTTTCGCACAGAATTTTCCAAAGTTTCACAAAATTTCAAAATTCAAAATCTCTCCATCCATATGTTCCTGAGTACTTACCCGGAGTTCAAATGTCGGCGTGTCAATCGTAACTGCACCGTGAGCTTTGAACACGCTCTCGATTTTTCCAAACACCTTCTGCCGGATTGCCATCTGAACTGGGCCATAGTCACGCGTGCCCTATGCAACAGCAAAAAAAATGTGTCCATTTCAACAATGCCAAGAAAGACTGCAACATTCTTGCCAAGGTACTCAAGGTTTCTACTTTGTGTCATCATTGAGCTGGTAAAGCCCAGACCCCTGAACAGCTCACACTTTAGCAACATGTTTGCACAGACATAGACACACATGGACACGCACATCGATACACACATACGTACACACACATGTGTGCGGACACACACACACGTATACATACACGTATACACACACACGCAGAGGTTTGAAATCAAAACACAGCCACATGCACTTCCGTCTGTCAACAACACATATATCCGAAAAGGTTATGATCTGGTTACCTTGGCTGTTTTCACAACAAATTGTGACTTTTCTCTCTCCACTTGCTCCTTCTGAAGATACTTGATTTTCTTCGATAGTGCTGCAATCTGTAATAATCGGCAAACAATCACTTGTTGATAAGCACCAGGGACAAAGAGAAAATGCGTCGCTCGCGTGGAAGAAAAAAAGCACCACCGCCTGTTGGCGCTGCGGCGTTAAATAAAGTTCAGCAACCTGGCCACAGCCACCAGGAGTTGAGCTACGGACGTTCGCCTCTGGCAAGCGTAAGCAGTATGCTGAACCCAGTGAGCGTTGGCATTGTTGCAATCAACGCTAAGCTCTTACTCGTGTGGACATTGAAATTCGTTGAGAAGTCAAGTGGCCACGGGCGCTGGAGTTGCAGCCGGCCGTGAGCACTGCCGGTCAATTTTCTGGAGTGCGTACGTGGACTACATTGCGTGAACGCGCTAAGGCAGTAAGGGCGCCGGCCCCGGTCATTCCACTGGATTTCAATGTCCACAGCAGTACTTTGCCGTCGTAGCCGCTCTTCCTGCGATGCTACACAGGCCGGCGGGAAGCAGACCCTGCTGTAACCACGGTAACCATGGTGACTCACATGCTAGTGTGCGGGAGCCAACAGTGCAACTTTCTACTCTTGAAATGGCACGAAGTCCTCGTATTGAACCGGGGAACTAAATCAAAGAAAAAGAGACATGACCAAATTATTAGCTCCCCTGTTGCAGCAGATAGAGCATGTACATGTACCGGTATCTGCATTTATCTGCCCAAGAAAATAGGGAGGTTTCGCTCTACGTAATTACGTATGAAAATCCGTATGTCGTACGCGCCGGGGAGCGAGGGCAACTTTCATACGTAAATCTCTCTACGGATTTCCGTAGGAAAGCTCTTTCCTACGTTGGGTCCTCCGTAGGACTTTTTGAAATATTTTTTTCGCATTTTCCGCATTTGTCCATGGCAACATTCAAGCCGCGCGAAACACAAGGTACACACACCGTACACCACGTGCAAAATATCATGGAAAACGCGGTTTCGGTTCATGGTGCATGGGGTGGGCGCATGCAGCCAACGCGTCTCCAAAGCAACAACGCATGTTGAGCAGTGGTGGAGAAATCACGTAGAGCGAAACCCAACAGCTCTGATTTTTACGTATGAAAGTTCCGTGCAGTTCATACGTTATTTTCATACGTAATTCCGTAGAGCGAAACCTCCCTAATAAAAGGGACTTGTCGTGCAAGAGTGCCATTGTCCTTTGCTGTCACTCGTAGGCCATTAGCTAGAACTGTAGCTAGGCGCCTTTCTCTTATACGTGGCCATCGTAAGTTTCTGAGCCGCTTCTCTACCTAGTCTTCTTCCGAGTCTCTTCGCTTAGCATTTTTCTTTCTCTTTTGCTTCCATATATTCCCAGTTCTGCGAGTGAAAACACCACACTCTTCCTATCGGTTACGTGTTACGGTCTCTATACGTGATGGAATATTGACACGGCTATATGCGTACTGGATGAACCGTAAAGTTCTGTAAGTAAGCCCCGGGCGAATACAGAACAAGGGTCTGAAAACTGGGCTATACTTGGGCATGGGCGTTATTTCAGGGCTGGGTCTATACAAGGTGCATATTGCATCGCTTGCGTTTTCATAAGCATGCATAACATTTTGCACGCATACGCATACACAGGGACAGCATCACCCTGGGTGGTTTTCGGGCATGGGCGTTATTTCGAGTGGGCGTAAACACGGACCTTTACGGTATGGCTGCTGCAGTCAGATGTTTGCACTGCCGTGTGTGTGTGTGTGTGTGTGTGTGTGTGTGTGTGTGTGTGTGTGTGTGTGTGTGTGTGTGCACAGCTTGGATTCACTGACCACTAACAAAGAAATGTAATCAGCAACATCACTGTACCGTATTTCCCCGATAAGCCACACTCGATCATAAATCGCGTCCCGTTTCCGGTTTAAGCCATATTGTTTATAAATAGATTTACGCAAGTAGGATGTCACACCCGATTGTAAGTCGCACCCTCTTCCTTGCCCGGCACGTTAAGTGTAATAGGAGTGACTTACATCCGGGGAAGTACGGTAAACCCCAACACAATGGTGGACGGCACAAGAAGGCGCTATGCCCCGTTCCGTAACACGGTTTCTGGTGCTCTTGCGCAATGACTTGTACAATCCGGGGCCAATGAGATCTGCCCACCGTCCAGAGTAGGCGCCCGGGCAGGACACGACTTGTGCCAGAGAACAAGACAGTGCTGGTGCCGGTACTACAGCATGTAGACTGCAGCTCCATGCTTGGGCCGGAATGCGGTCCTGTCCCCTATGCTGGGGGGGGGGGGGGGGCGGAATGCAGTCCTGTCCCCTATGCTGGGGGGAGGGGGGGGGGGGGGCGAAATGCAGTCCTGTCCCCTATGCTGGGGGGAGGGGGTTACATGTATACCCGCCCCAACTGCGCTACCGCCGTGTATTGATGTGGCATTATAGGACGTCGAGTTGATTTTCCACAACGAATCAAAATTTGGCAATGACTTGAGCTTGCAACCACTGGCACTGGATTGTAATGTTGCAAGAAAAAGTCAAGGATTTCGGCCTTTCCAGTGAAGCAAAAATGTCCACAAACATAAAAGTTTGTTGGTAAAAAAATTCAGAATTATTTTCTATTGTTTTCCAACCTCGACAGAAACAAAAAATTGTCTAAACAGATTATAAGAAAAGGGACCCGGTGCTCAGATATTACCTGCTCTTTGGGAGTATCTGGATCACTCTTCAACCGAGCGATCTCTGCCTTTGCTGCCTCAAGCTCTGCCCCAATCGCGGCTCCAGCCTTCTTTGCTTCCGCCATTCTGTGTTCGGACTGACTCTCAGCGTGGAAGCGTTTTCTCGCTGCACCTAAATTGTAGTGCACTAATGAGCGAGCACTAATGTCCGCGGGAAGGCGATGAAAAGCCACGAAGTTCTTACCAGCTTGGAATACTGTCCTTATCATTTCAAATTACATGCACTAAAATGAGAGAACATTTCTATATCTTCATTGGTCGCAAATGATGCAACAAGCCAGAAAATGTGCACGATTTTTCTGTCTTCTTTTGGGATGAAGATGAAGACGCTAGACAGTTCGGGATATTATGTGTGCGTTTTTGAAAACCGACTGGTAGATCTACATGGTACATACTTGTCCAGTCGCGTCGATGCATGGAAGCTGCAACCTTTTGCTTTCTGGTTTTATAGTCATCTACTGCAGAGCTGTAGGAGAAGTCGGACATAAGATCAAGACGGCAAAAGCGACAACTGCTGGCTGAGCTTTTTGGCGTTGCTGCTGGAAAAGATGGAGTCTTATACAAGGACCGCGCTAAGAACGCTCGAAAACGTCCAGCTAAGTTTCTGACACTCATACTTTTTGTTAATTCAAGCACAACGTGAAGTAGTTTGGTCTTGATGAACATCCACCCTGATACACAAGCTTGGCATTTTGCACTCCTCTCAACATTATTCAGGCAAAGAGACAGCAGCCTTAGTCAGAAGATTTGTGTGTTCCATTTGCCCGGCCATGTCAAAGAAATCCAAACCCCTTGTTGGAGCCGACATCGTGTGCGAGTTTCTGGAAGTGGCCTGGCACCAGATCCTGTTCCTGCGCGACGTGTACCCGGCGTCTGTGTTCGGGCGCAGACGCATGTACGGCACCTCCGTGCGCATGTGCCTTCACCCCGACGTGAATCAGTACATCGCGCAGAGCCTGGAGGCCATACGCGGCTGCTTGGTGCGCGGCGACGTCGAGACGATCGTGCTGGTGGTGCGCAACCAGGCCGGACTCGTTGTCGAGCAGTACGTATTCGAGGCGGCCGTGCCTGAGCGGCGCGATCCAGACGAGTTTGAAGACCGCTACCTGCTGGAGGTGGAGGCGTCGCTGCGGGCTGCACTGCTCCGACTGACGACCTGTGCTGGTGGATTGGGCAGCTTGCACGGGGATGGCGTGACGTTTGCAGTGCTGGTGAAGACCCGGCGTGATGCCGCCGAGAGGCTGGCAGTGCAGTCGGCAGCGCAGGTGCAGCCCATGCACTGGTTGGAGGCGAACTGTAGCAGCGGCGGCGGTGGCGATGGCGATGGTGGCAGTGAGACGATAGCAGCGCCCAACGACCTGCATCCCATCAACTCGTTCTCGTCGGAGCACGTCAAGCTGCAGGTGTTCGTTCAGACGTTGTCCAAGTCGCCGACGACACCACGCAAGCCGAGCCTCGACTGGTGAGCGACATCATCATTGGCTCGTTTGACTATCCAGCACTATTCAAGTTGGCTCTTATCTGCTTGAGGTGTTTCATTGCTTACAACAATGACGCTTACGGTATCAAACCTTCTCCAGCGACACATCTACACGGACTTCGAGCAGGCGGCGGTAGCAATCCCTATGGTTACTGGTCATGCAGTAGACTGTTGCCACGGTGACACATGTGCCGCTGCAGACCGAGAGCCGTGCTCACTCAGCTACTACCGGTGCCGAAGTATTATCCTGGATGCATGCTCGTATTTGTGCTGTGCTTGCTGATAGCTTTCGGGCCATAGGAACCTGGAGAAATGCGGAGCTTCGCGGTGCCACGTTGAAGGTTCACGCCGGTATTAGTGCACACAGGCACGGTCACGAAATCAGAGTGAATCCTACCCCGGCTAGGATCCTCGCTTTGCTGGTGTGAACTGTGAAGTTCTTCTCCGGCTTGTGTCTTTTACTCCGGTGACGTCATCAAAATCACCCAGAAGGTATGCACGGCTTTGGCCCGCAAACTGCTCTCCGAGCTCCGGTGGGCTATTGCCATGGCCTCTGGTTTTCTGATGGGAAAACGAGGGTGGGAAATACTGCAGCCAACTGTCAGTCTCATTGGTGTGATGAGCAGCCTTCATTTGAAGGTTTGGAGTCTGTGCGCAGCTTGAATTATGACTATGCAGCTGCGCTGGTATTTTCCTGAGGAATTGAGACTCTACCGGGGTGACTGGCTGGAGTATCGTCACTGCCGAATGTCCCTACTGAGTTGGAGCATTGCTTGAACTGAAAGTCCCATCATGTCTCAGTGATTGAAATTGTATGCTACATGTACATTTACAGTCATGTACATGACTTTAATATACTAGGGTAGGGTATCAGTACAGTGTTACGCACTCAATAGTGGAGTCAAGACTACATGTAACTGTGTACATTGTACTCCACGTAGCTGACTTACTTTCATCCAGGGAGTACTAGAACTGGGTTTTCGTACTGCCTTTCAAGTGTTTTCGTGGCCTGGCTTCTCAGTACACAGATATTGCAGACTAGAATGATGGCCACGATAGTTTGCTGCTGATTTCGCCTTTATAATAGCATGTTTAATTTCATGTACGCTGTATGTCTTTTTTTAACACGGTCATATTCTCAGTGGCACCGTTCTGAATTCTGCTTTAGATGGCCTTGCCCGCCCCTGGGTATTGACTATTGAGCACTGTTTGAGCAGTAGAAGTCACCGACTGCCTGTATTGTGGCATACAGCTGCTGGGGACTAGGGCAGTAGCGGTACGCGGCTAGCCAACATCACCCTGATCTCGAATCCCGAAGGATTTTGCTCTGCGTGGCCAAGTACAGTGTACCCACATGTCGTAATGTATGCAGGCCCGCCTCGCAACTTTTCGGCCACCAACACATGTTTCCTACTGTGGAGGCCAGGCGTACCAGCCATACCATACACAAACTGTATGAACGGCCATGATACTACCGGACCAATCAAAAACTGCTTCCGGCGGCGGTCCTGGTATGTATTCGAGGAATGAAGAAACTACGGTGACACTTCAATTCAGTACGGTGTACAGTCGTCCCTCTCTAATCCGGCACTTTATAATCCAGCACCCTCGATAAACCAGCACAATTTTCAGTAGCCAAAATGTCCTCTTCATGCACACTGCAGCAGTAAATCAGATTTGTTAATCCAGCACCCTCCCTAATCCAGCAGATTTTCGTGGCACAAATGGTGCCGGATTATAGAGGGACCACTGTATTACATTTCCGAAGGCGGTCGTTACATAAAACCTGTACCAGTACTTTTTAGTCGGGGTACTCCTCCATATCGGATCGCCGAAGAGCTAGGGGTCAGCCTCCTAGCCTAGGCCGTTCTTATTCCCATGTACTACAGTCTATGCACATTAAAATTTTGACTGGTTACCGCGTATACATATTGGTATGCCGTGCTGGGTGAACTAAGTTACTTGTTCTTTAGACTTTTGTTCTAGCCTTGCCTGTCTTTGGCGCCCGACAGTACTGTAGTATCATACTAGTATGTTTACATCCTGGGTAATACTAGTACAGTTACATGAGACTTCTCTAAGCTGGTGCTTGTGTTTCGCAACACACTTGTAAGTTGTATCCAGTGAAAGATCTCTCAACAAGCTAGAGGCTAGTAGAGCATGGTGTGCATGGTACGTAGACCTATGGGTAGTATGGGGGCAGATGCACAGGTCTCCACAGGCCAGAGGTTCCAGTTGAGCCAAAACTGTGGTTTCCGGTAGCACAATTGCGAAATTTAGGGGGTTACGCAGAACCCCCGGAACGGTTCAACTTGTGTGACCCCACCCCTGGATCCGCCCCTGCACACAGTACAGCGGTACTGCATCAGCGAAACGCGGTGTTGGAAGACGCACAGGGGCGGGGATATGGCGTGAGAGCATCAGAAACAGACAGGCAGAGGCGGAGACAGAGGAAACCTCTCTCAGAACACTGAACTGAGAGGAAAGATGAGAATGATGAGCACGAGCTACTTTTGAGTTTTGAGTACAGTCTCTACTACAGAACTGGAAGACGACACTGGACTCGAGCTGATATGGGCCATGGGCCCTTTGATGGGGCTCGGACTATGAGCACGAGCCCCTCCTACAATCTACATAATCATTCAGTACAGCGCCTGTGGTGTGTGTTTTGGATGGACTCGTACTCCGACGTAACGTCAAGCCAAGGGGACTTCGCTGACAAAAACTAGAAAACGTAGATCGAGAAGAGGTTGGTCCGATACATGCCCCTGCGATGCCTCAGCCTGCCACGATCACGATAGTCTGTACTGCTGCTCGAGGATGTCCTGACAAAACATTTTTGTTTTGATAAGGACCTGACAAAATGCTTTGGGTCGCAGACAGCCCAGTGCAGTTGGTCTGTTTTCTCTTCACGAACTTCTTTTCCAGTCACTTCCACAACGTGGCAACCCTTTCCGATTCTTTCGGATTCTAGCGAATAGTGTTCTCTCATTCAAGCTGCTGCTGCGATGGCGGTCGTCGCTAAGGTGGGCAGGAGGCTGCGGCGAACAGGAAAGGACGCTTACAAATTCGAGTTTACAGCCCTATGCGAGCAGTTGGAGCTGCAGCTAAAGCCCGAAGTCAAGAAATGGTAAGCGCTGCTGTTCGCCCTGTTTACAACTAGCGAGCCACTGTCACTACATCATGCAGTGTTCCCACGCGTTCCGGAAAATGCCTGAGCTAACGCCGCCTCTTATTTTGCTTTCCGATCAGTGCACTGGCGGAAGGCCTGCACTGCACTGTTGTCTAGTTGTATGTAGAGGTCACCGGAACAGTGAAATAATTCCGACTCAGAATCTTACTGTGAAGTAACTAACTTCAAGTGATGGGGCGGCGTGGCGCTGTAACCCTTCGAACTCCAGTGAACAGAAGTGCAAAAAGCCAGCAGCGGACCCGATCGGCAGGCTCTCGCAGTGAAGCCATGACGCTCATGATGCAGTCGCTGGCAGCGGCTTGTGAGGCTGTGTTGTTGATAATACGAACACTTATGCGACATGGCCAGTCCAATAACAAATAATTAGACAAAGTGCAGTAAATCATGTGAATTGCTAGGCGAAGTATCCGTCCCCTCGAATTGCCAGTGCTTGGAGGCAGCACACCAAAGTAGGAGACAAGTGGAAAAAATCTCAGAATCTAGGTTATTCAAACTCTTCACATCCCAACCTACTTTGATCCACCCCACCCCCACTACAGTACTGGCCTCGACGGGCAGTTTTACCAGCCATGCAGACAAGAACTTACCTGTGACGTGGTGACGCGTCAAAGGCTTTCCCACGGCTGCCTTTGCGCCGTGTGGCGGACTTGCCAAGGTTCAACTACAGTAAAACCTGTGTTTCCCGGACCCTGTACCAAGCGGAGCCCTGTGTCGACCGGACACACTTTCATGCATCAAAGTGCAGTGGGTCGAGCAGTTTGGACTGGAGTTGCCCCACGCACCAGCGTTTACCGTATTTCCCCGAATATAAGTCGCACCCTTGTACACTAAAACCCAAGGATAAAAAAGGGGGTGCGACTTACAATCGAGCATGACTGATTATATCAAATCAATATTGCTCAAACCTGAAAATGGGGGTGCGACTTATAATCGGAGAAATACGGTACATGTTATTTTGAAACTTCCAGAAACTGTTGTTGGGCTTGTAAGTAGCCTACTGTAACGACGAGTAACAGCTCGTCAGACAGGGGAAATCCCCCAGCCGGTTTCGTGGAGGCCTCAGTCTGCACCAGCCTGTGTTCTTTTCAGTTTGAGTAGCTTTATAATGCAGAAAGTGTGAGCAGCTTTGCCACTTCCATTTGGACTTAAATTCGCTTCACTCTGATTTAAAAACCGTACCAGCCCCGGGCCGATTAGCAGCGGCAACTACAGACCACACCGAACTGGCATGATTGCCGGTGATGAAGCACAGTGTACTTGGAATACAGGCCCGGCCGTGCTGCAGGTGGTGACTGCATGGTCTGTGCAGTCATATATTTATTTATTTATTTATTCCGCTCACACATTGCCTAAGCTGATTCCGAGTGGTGCCGGGGCAATTCTCGCTACTACCATGGCATGGAAGAAAAACAAAACAAAAAGCACAAGCAAACATGATCAGGAACAGCATACTAGCATATGACAGATGCATGGATAACTGAGAGTGCCCCAGCAGCGTGATGTGCAAAGACTAGAGCACTGTTACTTCAAGGCAGCATAGACTGACATGCAATTACCTAAACACGCGTGTATTGTTTAACGTTTCTCTCCTGGTTTGTTCGACAGGTCACCGTACAAGCTACTGGTGACGTTCTCGCGAGCTCACCGCCGAGTGGAAACACCACCCGTAAGGCATTTTGAAAGTTGTCAGTGCTTCTGTACGGCACACACGCACACAGATGCACACGGATACTCACACAGCTTACACAGGCACACACAAACACACACACACACATACACACACACACACACACACACACACACACACACACACACACACACACACATGCACACATGCACACATACCTACACACACACACACACACACACACACACATACACACACACACACACACACACACACACATACACACATACACACACCATTTGAACCTTGAACCTTGAACACAAACCCATAGACGGGTGTTTCTTTACTGGAGATCCTCACCCATATTGCTTTCCATAGACACATGCAGCATGCCTTTATTGGAGACATGCCATGTTAGAGGGTCAATGATGGACATGCTGCTTTGTCTTCTTGTAATAGAAAATACAGTGCATATCCAAAATGTGGGGGTGTCTTTAGTTCGTCGTTGAATCAAGTTCTAGTGCACCGGTTTCACTAAAAGTTAGTCAGAGATGGAAGTCTAGCTAACAGCATGCAATACTCCCGTCTCATACATCTTGTATTTGCTGCTCCTGCTGCTGCTGCTTCTGCTACTCTCTTGATGTGGTGGTGGCGGTGGCGGTGGTTCTACATCATAGGTGTTTTTCAAGTCTATCATTGAGTCTGGTCAGGAAGGCAACGCATCGTGGAATCCGCCGTCAGAGCTCACACTGCTTGTCACGCTCTATCGGGTAAGTGCGAGTCCTGCAATGCGATTTGGACGGCACCTATTCTAAACTAATCCATATTGTTTCACTGCATGGCCAGGGGCGGATCCAGGGGGGGGGGGGGGGGGGGAGGCACAGAACCCCCTAAATTTCACAAATGTACTTCTTTACTGGAATCCATATGCGTCTACATGTACATGGATCAACTATTCAGTTTTGGCTAAGCTAGAACCCCCTGTAGAGATCTCTGGATATGCCCATGAGGGCCATAAAAGGGTACCTGACTGGAAAGGAACAGTATTGAAGAAACAATGTGTGTGTGTGTTTGTTTGTGTGTGTGTGTGTGTGTGTGTGTGTGTGTGTGTGTGTGTGTGTGTGTGTGTGTCAGTGTGTGCGTGTGTGTGCGTGTGTGTGTGTGTGTGTGTGTGTGTGCATGTACATGTGTACCAGTACATGCGTTTGTGTGTGTACGTGTATGCGTGTTCACGCATGTACGTGTGTGCCCACTTGCCTGCGTGCTAATGTTTCTAGACTCCAGATACAGTGAAATTTGACGAGAAAGAGTACAAGTTTGAAATTGTGAACGTAAGTGATGGGCAGGTGCATGCTTCTCTCAGGGAGATTGAGAAATATTGAGTCTGCCGTTTGCAAGTTGTGCCCGGTCCATCTGTGGATGTCCTAGTGGTGCGAACGTCAGCAGAGTGTGCCTAATTCTATGCGTCTAAATCCGCCTGTGAAAGCGTATCACTCTTGGCGTGGATACCCTTGCCGGCTACTTTGTATGTTGCTAGTACAGATAGTGATGTGACAAGGCAGGAGCTCCACATCACCAGGCTGTGCGTCCTTACCAATCACTACCATCGATTACTGTATGACGTAATGTAATGATGTCACTATCCTTCAAATGATGTCACTGTAATCAGATGATACCATGATACGATGTCATACTTAACACTCTCTAAACAATGTCTTATTGGCCACAGGCCATCGTGAGATTAAAGATTTGAAACGCACTGGCCTTGTTTTCTATGTGCTTGCAGATCGGCAAGAATGGTGATGCCAAACTGTTGGCAGTGTTCTATGCCGACATGGCGCAGTACGTCAAGGAGGACGAATCCGAGTAAGGCTAGCAGGCTGCAATAGCTGTAGTAACCACCGTGTGTTGGCTGGGCTAGGGCACACGCCGTGCCCCAGCCGGCGCCACCCCATACCACCTATCCAATACATATTTTAGTTACCGTAAAGTCGTGTACAAAAGCCGCGGCTTATGACTTTTTGGGGGAAATGTTGCAGGCTTCTATATGAGACACGCTTCTATACAAGACAGGTATTTCTATGTATGTCAACACTAAAACCAGGCTTATGGGCCGACAGTGTATCTTGAAAATCAGGCTTCTATTCAAGACAGGCTGTAATACAAGACACAACAATATTTACAAGCTGGAAAGGACTTGGTCCGTGTCATTGCGGTGTGATTATGTGTGTGACTATTGTACAAGTTGTTTTCTGTAGCAAGTTAGCATTGCCACCACTTCCGCAATTGATTTCGTAAACGCCAAGAGTCTTCATTGACAATGTTAGCGGTGACCAGTATAGTCTTGACGATCCATGGACGTGTACACGGGTTAATCACAGTCGCATTGCAGGATGAGTTTAGTTTACAACTCGTTGCACTGGCTTTTCCTTTCTGCTGATTGCTCCTGTCTATCCGTACACATTGGTCACGGGAGCGGGGAGGCCGTGTGTGGGATTTTCCAGTGTTCACTGTTACTTACTGGCAATCACTGTTATCCGGTTGCTCACTGCTCCACTGCAGGAGTGTGCTGAGTGTGAGCTTCAAGCCGTCCTCGGTGAAGATTGCCAGTGCCACGCTGGATATCACCATCAAGTCTCGCCTGGTCAAGAAGGGCAAGGCTGGGTAAGAGCAGTGCCATACCTAGGCAGAGAGAGAGAGAGAGAGAGAGAGAGAGAGAGAGAGAGAGAGAGAGAGAGAGAGAGAGAGAGAGAGAGAGAGAGAGAGAGAGAGAGAGAGAGAGAGAGAGAGAGAGAGAGAGAGAGAGCAAGGCTGGGTAAGAGGCTTTTAAAGAATGCATCTAAATACGCATGCATCGGGCAGCGAAGACCAGGTGAACTGTGCATCTAGTTTTGATTGAAAACACCCACTGGGGTTCCTAAACCTCTGCTTCCAGCCTGGTGTAATAGTACATTTGGTGACTTTCTAGCCTGGATACGCTTCGTCTGCCCGTTCTCCAGCGCTCGATGTCACTGTACCGTTACATTTGAAGGGTTGAACGGACTCGGAGGCGAGTGTGTGCCTCATATTGCTGTTATCCTGTCTGCTTTGACATCCCTGTTCTATTCATGCATGCAGTGATGAAGACATGCAGAGCACGGCGAGTCGCCTCAGCCAGAGCAACATTCGGGACTTGGATGAAGACCTGCCTGAGGATGAGCTTGACGAGCCGGACAGGCCCAAGATCTCCAAGGCAGAGGACAAGGAGATGAAGAAGACGCTGGCGTGAGTGCACATACTGGACAGATGACAACCGGTTCATGTGCTTGTGTGTATCGGCACTCGCACGTGCTGGACTGCTAGAACATTCTACGCATGATATAGTGCAGGAGTCTGTATTTGTGTGTGTGTGGGGGGGGGGGGGGGGGGGGGGGGCTTATTGGTTAAGTTTATTCATGACCCTATCCGTACTGCTGACTGTGTTTGTACTTCAGATTGGATTTCAGTGAGCGCAACTGTAGCATGTTTCCCAATGCTGTAGACAGCGAGCTGTTTCGGCCATAAGGCCTCATCAGTACAGCTACGAGCTAAATAGGTGCAAAGGAGGCACCACAGACATTAAGCTAGCTGTAGCAGGCTATAGATTTCATTTACTACTCCTGTGTAGTACAGTGCTGCTAAATGAAATCCAGTCACGTGACTCAAGTTTGCGCCTTGCATCATTTCGCAGCCCAGTGTTGGCAGGTCTAGGGCTGCGCAACGCCCGGCGTATACTTGAGGGACGTGACTGGATTTAATTCAGTGAGCAACACTGTAAGTACTTGCCCCCATCGTATTAGGTGAGACAGTACATTTGCTGTCTGTTCTTCTGTTTCACCTTTCCCTTAGGCACCTGTCGAACGAGCAGAATGATAATCCCGAAGCAAAGAAGTCAGCGGTAGCCGACTGGCTCGGCGTTACACCAGGTACTTAAGTACAGTGAAGCCTGTCTAAGACGACCGCTCAAGGGACCTTCAAAACGTGGTCTCTGTTACCAGGTGGTCTCCTAATCCAGGGTCATTTGACTGGAAAAGTGGAAATAGCATCCCTTGGTCCTAGTTTCAGTGGTCTTCTAGGACAGGTGGTCGCCTTATCCGAGTGGTCGCCTTGACAGGTTTTACCGTGTGCATGTTGGCCTGCAGCAGTGATTCTGATTGTGAAGTTCACCACCATGAGTTATGCAGCACCACAGCACCGCAGTTGAGTACACAGCACGCTGGTCTCATTGGCATCATGATGTTTTGTTTGGTGCACCCTTTTGGTTGTGTGTGTGTGTGGGGGGGGGGGGGGGGGGGGTGCGAGTCACATCACTTCTCGGTGTCACCTCTTTGCCATGAGAAACAATGGAACGAATCGAGTGCAAGGTTACATGTTTGCTCATTGGCATAGTAACGCTAAGAATTCATCAGAGCATAGCCAAGTCTAGTCAAGTCCTGTTTGGACTGGCTCTGACATGTGCCGAAACTTTTATTTATAATTTTTTCAACAAGTCTAACTGTTTCGTTTTAGAACAAATCATTCCTTTCTTTTTAAATCCTGTTCTGCTACTGTAGAGGCTGGTAGTGGCAGTATTGACGCAATGCTGGAGGCCGACTCCAGGTTTGCCGATGCCTCGCTGATCAACCGCGACGGCGAGGTCGAGCCGGTACAGCGACTGCTCAAGTCGGCAGTGATCGGTGTAAGTGTTGGCTGGGCGAACACGCTTTATAAATGCACTGCAGTATTGTCGGGCACGGAAGAACTGGGGGGGGGGGGGGGGGGGGGGGGGGGAGGCAGCCTCCTAGCCTAGGCAATTCTTATTTCATGTACTTAAGTCTATGCACAGTTGAGTCATGGTGTATACATTGGTATGCTGTGCTTGGTGAAATCCTAGCCTGGTCGTTCTTCGGAGCTGCAGTGTAATTCTGAGTGGTTTGCGCAAGACCCAAGAGACAACAGCGAGATGCATTCTAGGCCATTGAAGTCAACCTTGTAAAAAAAGATGCGGAAAACTGGGCCTTTGGCCGAGTCTCACGCGAACCGTGATTTTTTTGTTGTTGTAAAAAATATCAGCCTTGGGTAACACAAGTTGATCTATTAGCAACAACTGATGAATAACAATACTACCTTGCAGTCTAATTCTGAGTGGTTTCATCTTCCATGTGTTGGATACTTACTATAATTAATATGCTAGACAGAATTCTTCGTCTGTTGATAGAGTGCACAGTGCCCAATCAAGGGTGGTTATTGCAAGATTGACTGCAGTGCATGTAACGTCATATCGCCGCTTGGTGTTTCTGTGCCTGACAGGTCTACTTTTCGGCCGAATGGTGTCCGCCGTGTCGGGAGTTCGTGCCCAAGCTGAAAACGTAAGCCGTGGAGTTGCGCGCTGCTCCTCTTTGCTGTCAGCTGCTCTCATCAGTGTTTATCATGTGCCCAGTGTTTTAAAACTGGCTTTGTCGGATTTATGTATAAGAAGAAGGACCCAAACCGGCGTTACGAGTTATGACTATCAGTCTACCAAGGTAACACTATACAGTCGGATAGTAACTACTTCATTGTATACATGGATACTATTAACTCACCATCCGAATTGCCGGATTTGGTTGATTTCGGTGAATGAAGCCAAGGACTCATTCTACTCTCCTCCTCTTTCAATGCTCCTTGCCCCCCCCCCCCCCCCCTCTCTTCTCTCTCTCTCCCCTGCTGTTGCAGGTTCTACACATCACTGAAGGAGAAGGGAGCGAGTTTTGAGCTGCTCTGGGTGTCCAGTGACAAGTAAGTGAGCATTGAAGTGCTACTGGCTCATGGACAGACTTCAGCTTCAGAACACAATAGTGTTTCTGTGCCTCCTTCGACGGGACAGGAAACGGGTATCGACTGGTTCAGAGGCCATATGCTAACTCTTCTCGCATTGTGTATTGTACAGTGGCCATCTTAGGCACCTTACTTGCTCAGTGGAGAAATGACTGTGCTAGTACTTTGATAGCGAGAATGTTGGTCCGACCATCATCTGCATGGTCCAACTTATCGCCGATTACACCGGGCCTGCTTGATCAGCCTGCCGCAGCGAGCTGTCAGCAAACCTTTGCGCTGCACGTCCATGAGGTTGACTGGGTGGTTGTCGGTACGCAGCAGTCAGTGTGCGGAAACGGATGGAAAAGCAACGTGCCCGTGTTCTGTTCGCGAAAATGCACTGTTGTAGATATTGGAATCCGGTGGAATGATCGGGGCCGGCGCCCTTACTGGCTTAGCGCGTACACACACTGTAGTGTACCTACACACTGTAAAATGAACCAGCAGGCAGCAGTACTCGCGGCTGCAAGGCCAGCACCCCATGGCCGCTTGATTTCTCAAAAGATTTCAAAGTCCACAACTGTGCCGCCGCTTCATTGTGTTTGCTGCTGCTGCTGCCATGTCGTTTTCAGGAGCGATCAAGCCATGCAGCGCTACGCACGCACCATGGAAATGCCTTTCCTGATCCTTCAGTACGACCACCAGCTTGGGACTGAACTACGCGACTCCTATGAGTGAGTGCTGACTGTGGGATCCGGGATTCATGTCAAGGAATTGTAACACATATTCTTTTGTTGAATTCTATGCACCGACCTTGACGGGGCACCCCTGCCCGATAGCGAATGAATAAAATGTTCTTGTGCGCACCGAGGAACATGTTACAGGCACAAATGCATAGGACGCTGGACGTTGAACAACACTACTTGTCTGGTACGCCCAGTCAAACGTAGCTGCCAAGTAATTTTTTTGTGTTCACTGGACTTCATTGTGACGGGCTTGTCAACCACTCTGGTTTGTTGGGGAGACCTAAAACGTTTGCAGCAGATAGCTGCACAAGGATTGAGTTGTCTGAGTATAATAATAGTGGGCCCGGCCTTCGATTATTGAAAGTGCTCGTGGGTGTCTCCCTGACACCGGTCAGTTGCAAAGTTGCATGTATGCGGATGGTGTCCTTTCATCGGAGATCGACATTGTGAATGGTAACGTCCACATGCTGTCCATACATGTGAAAAGTGTTGTTTTTCACGGCTGAGCGTAGCGAAAGAGTGTAAAAAAACCGTATTTTTCACCCACCATTTTTCTGTCGTGCACTGCTGCTCTTCCACTGCGCAACTCTCCCCCACCTGTCATCGCGGTCTTGTATTCCTCGTGTAGCGTGGAGTACATTCTGGTAGACCACTACCCCATGTACAACCCGGTTGCTATGTGAGTGAAAAGTACACAGTTGGCAAATGGGCAGTAGTAGTACAAGTACCCAGGTCCAAGGCGTTTCTTCCTTCTTTTACTCGATCTAGCGGACGTATTCCATTGACCAGCATGGTGGTGACATGAAATCTATAACATACTACTGTTGCGCTCACTGAAATCCAATCCGAAGTGCTAAACTGGTGGTGGTGGTGGTAACAAAACGCATTCACCGTGCAATTGTGTGTGTCTGTCTGTCTGCGTCTTCCCTTCCCCAGGGTTAACTCCATTCCAACGCTGTGTTTTGTGGACGCGGTGGGAAACAAGGCAAGTCAACACTCCAAGATAGTAGTATTAGGTAGAATACTAGAATGCCGTTACATGTGCAGCATTGGGCACTTCGCTGTGAACACCATGCTTTACATCCATTAGTATGCATGCCACTACTGATGTGTTTGGATTGCAAGCCTTGCAGGAATCCGTTGCGGAACAAGACAAGGCCTGATTTATTTACATTGAGCATACGCATCATAAGACAGATGGGAGAGAGACAGTACGGAGAGAGACAATGCTGTGACAAACATTATACACTACAACTAGTATAGGCCCCGTTTCTGGACTGTTCCATATCCAAAGTTTCTTACTGCCAGGTAATTCAGCTGTTATACTGCATGCAGTTCATGCTCTGGTTTGTGCATGTATGCAGATTGAGCATCATGGTCGCCAGGCCGTGGAGAAAGCGGTGGAAGCCGGTACGGAGTGGAGCTGCTACAATCTCCTGCTCTCAAAGGTCTCCAGCAGCGCCATGCTGACCGGCGCCAAGCCACTCGAGTCGCCGGAGGCTACTGTAAGTCCAGCTTACTGTGCCACAGCGCGTTGCAATGCCGCGTAGGTGCGGAATATGTATTTAAGCGAGCTCCATTGTACTGGTAACGCTTTTCTCTACCGGCAGTGTACCTTCTCTCTCTCCCCCCCCCCCCCCCCCCCCCCCCCAGGACCCAGACAAGTCATTACGAGCAGATGTCGCCCTAATGCAAAGGGAGTAAAACTGCTTCGACTGTGTGTCCACGCATTCGAGGATCCCAAAGTCATATCCAACGTCTCCATGACTCTGTTGGCCAGATGTGACTTTCAAGTTTAACCCCTGAAGAGGTGTCTGTGATACAATGGGCTCCTTCCAAAGAATGGTAATTGAATAGCTTAGCAAATGACAAAGTATTTCTGCTGGAAATATTGCTGTGAAAGGTGTTTTGTTAGCAGTTGGTTTCTGTTTCCCGCCTCGATTGTATTCCCCTGCACTACCCCCCCCCCCCCCCCCCCGACTGTCATACATTGAGGCGACATGAGATCAGGTTTATTGGCGTGAACCAAAAATTATGTAGTTTGCGTTTTAACAACGTGTGATGAGTGTATGGTATTGTGTGTCTCCAACTCCTCGTCCTCGCTGCCATGACGCGGCAGGATGGTGGCAAGCCGAACGTGACCCTGCCCGTCTGGGGAACGGAAGTCATCGAGCGAAGCCGCAGTCCTCCACCACCACCGACCACAGCTGCATCGGACCCGGCCACCGTTGCTGCAGATAAGCACACGGCGGAGGACACGTCGGCGTCGTGCAACATCAAACCCGAGGATAGCCTCACAGCAGCAGGGGCTCTTCTGGCCGCTGCAACCAGCGTGGATCATGACTCACCGCTGCACGACTCGGACGCAAACACTGCAGCAGCAATGACAGGGCGCGAGGCAGCGCATAGCTATGACTCCATGGAGGCTCTCGACGGCACGGGCCATTCTGCCCTGGGTCCAGATGAGGGTATTGTTGACCGTGTGGAACAGCCGGACCCAGTAGAGATCACCGAGAGCAAAGAACCCGTGTCCACCGACAAAGTTGTTGCGGCTGCTGCTCCATCACCCGCTGCACCGGACGCCAGTGCTACGCCAGCAATGGACCAACAGCACGAATCCACTATTTCCACACCACAAACTGCTCCAGAACAAGAGGATGTTGCCAAGAAGAATGCGCCTGAACCGAGTAACACAACACAGGAAGCGAACACAGCTTCTGCACCGCAGCCTGTGGTGCAGGCGGCCTCCAGCAACGCAACTCCAGCCCCTGAGCAGAGCAGTGCACTGAAAACGACAGAAGCTGAGGCGAGCCCTCCTGCCCCTGAACCAGTGGCGGAGGAACCCAAAGAAGACATTTCAACACGCTCAGCGGCAGATGCCGCCCGCAGTGCTGCCGTTGCTGCGGCTGCAGCAGCAGCTGCAGTAGCTGAGATAGCCGCTATGGCCGAGTCCATGTCAGAGCAGGCCGATGCGCTCGCTGCTGTTGACGACATCACCGGACTCAGCGACGAGGAAGAGAGTGGTGGTGGTGCTGGTGGGAGTGAGGAGAGCACAGCTGCGACTACATTGGATCTTGCGGCTGTTGTATCTCAAGCTGCTCCAGTTGTTGAGGAAGAGCCCCGTCAGACTGTAGCCCCTGTAGTTGCTTCAGCCCCTGTAGTCACTACATCCACTATAGAGTCTTTAGCCCCTGTAGTCACTACATCCACTGTAGAGTCTGCAGCCCCTGTAGTCACTACATCCACTGTAGAGTCTGCAGCCACTGTAGAGTCTGCAGCTGCCATGCAGAATGAGCCAGAAACCACTGCAGACCCGGCAGCAGACACAGAGAAAGATGACGATGCTACGAAGGCGTCTACGGATGGTGAGAACAGAGTGACGGAAACAGCCCCAACTGCACAGTCCGATGATACAGCAGGACAGGCAGCCGAACAACCACCAGCGGCTAGTCAGGAAGCCAGCAACGCAATGCAAGCATCCACCACGGCTACATCAGCTCCTACTGCGGAGGCAGTTGCCGAGCCAATGCACGCAGAAGGGCCACAACCCCAGGCAGAATCCAAGCCCGAGGACAACGCACCGCCGTGCTCGGCCGAAGATGCGGCTTCCAACGCAGTCGCGGCCGCAGCTGCTGCAGCGTCCGCCGTGGCTGAGATTGCCATCGTGGCCGAATCCATGTCGGAGCAAGCGGAGGCACTTGCCACTTGCATCGCCAATGACGACATCGACGTTGCCCGGCACAGCGAGGACGAAGCGGAGAACACTGAGCCGTGCGGCGGTGGTGTTAGCGGATACGACGAGGATGATGAGGGCGATGACAGCAATGTTGACTATGATGACGATGACGAGGAGGATGATGACTATACAGGCGAGGAGGAGACAGTGAGTACACGTAGATGCTTTCCTTGTGGACTAGACCCAATATGCAGCCATGAGAAGAAGCACGCATTCCTCTGTGTGTGTTTGTCACATCGGCCTTCTATCCAGCTGGTTTTGCCATGCAAAAAATACGCTCGCTGCTGCTGCTGCCCATTGTCCTCGCCCTTGCTTGCTGGGTCGGTCGCAAGTCTGTGTTCATGACAGGACTTGCGGAGCCTACAACGTGTCCGTTCACAGGGCGGTGCTCACTTTCCTTGCCAGTCATCCATTCTACTCGTTTCTTTACTCTCTCTCTCTTTTTTCAAAGCGCCCGCAGGCCATGGGGCAAAGCATTTTTTTAAATTCTCAATGCGGCTATAACCGACCCAGCAAGCAGGAGAGGACCATGGCATGCAGCTGAGCTGCTCATTTCACATAGCCTGTCAGCATAGTATGCCCTCCTTTTCCTCATCACACTGCCTTCCATCGGTATTGCTACATCGTGTACTGTACTTCATGACACACGCCGGGTAACCTAGCTGTGGCAAACCTATTTGAAATCGCAGCCTGAGCGTGCTGTTGTTCTAAAGTACCCAAGCAGACATGACAAAGGCAGAAGAGGACGGTGATAATCGGTTAAAATGCAATGATAACAAAGTCTCTTGTATGGGCAAAATGAATTGCACATAATTATCATGAATTGCACTTAATTATCATGAATTGCACATAATTATCATGAATTGCACATGATTATCATGAATTGCACATGTCACCAATGTAACAAGTTGTAACACTGTGTTTCACGCACATAGCAAGCCTGAGGCAATCCTCAGACAACTGGATCGGACACGATATACACGGCGGCTACAGTAGCCGACTGCATTATGTTGCTAACGTTTCCAAGTGCACTTCACTGGACCTGTCATCCAACCGTTCACGTTCCGGCACTTCAATTGAAAGATCTGAAAAGAGAAATAAAATTCCAACTCCACCTGGACTCTAACCCAGGACTTTACTCTTTTTCAGGCAGTTCACTTCCCCGACTGACCCTTTGAATTTCGAAGTTCTCCCTATCCTTTAAAACTCGCTTGATTACATGTATGGACTTGGTCCTTTGTTCTTTACTATGAATTACATGTATAATTATAATTGTAATGCTTTGTGTCGTTTTGTCATCGCCGCTAACTGATTGATCTTGTCACTGTGGTGTTCTTCTGCTTTGCCACTTGCCCTGCTTCGGCTTTGTGCCAGTGTAATATTTGAGCTTTGGCCATCATTGACATTGTAATCATATTATTGATGGTGATAATCCTGGCGGCCGGTTGCACCAGGGCTATGCGCTCTTCACGCACCTGACACGACCCGTGTTTCTATGACGGCAGTGATGACTGGGACAAGTGCAGGAACCCTCGGGACGGTTGAGCCAACAACGTTGGTCAGCTGTTGTCCGATGTGTAACTGTATCATTTAATATTGCTCTGCATTGCTAAATTTCCTTGTGCTTTTTCAAGCGGCGACGAAACGAGCACGCTGACATGGATCGCACTCGGAGAAGCCGGCGCATGAAGGAGTCTGCTTGCACATGTATACATGTCTGTACAGAGCTCGTATGAATCCTAACCTGGACAACAAACAAATATTCTACCCGCACTCTTGTCGCACTTTCATCATAAGATAGTGTGAAAGGATTCTCAGGCTGAATTTTTTAGGAGACTCCTTGTGTTAGGCATGCATTTGTCCTCAAAGAATCGTTGAATTCTTTGGATCATGGGCCTTGAAATAAAGAGTCAATGCAAACACACATGTATATTGTTTAAATGAGATGCCTGTCTAAACCACTAATAAACCTGGTCCTACGCTTTCCATTTTTTTTCCAGTCTGTGTGCTGAGACAAAGTCTTAAAAAGTTGGCGCTCAGCACCTCCTCGGTGGCATGCATGTTGCAGTGGCACTGTGTGTGTGCGTGTGTTCATGTGTGTGTGTGTGTGTGTGTGTGTGTGTGCGTGCGTGCATGCGTGCGTGTGTGTGTGTGTGTGTGTGTGTGTGTGTGTGTGGTTGTGTACTTCTGCTGGAAAACCCATGCATTATGTTCCAGCACAAGCTAGTTGCCATGCCTACTTTCAAGGCATGGTTTGTTATTAATGTTACCATCATCCTCTGCCAGGTGTATATAACTAATGTTCTTTTTCAATATTAAAGGTGCATGTGTATGTGTGTGTGTGTGTGTGTGTATGTGTGTGTGTGTGTGTGTGTGTGTGTGTGTGTGTGCGCACGTGCATGTTAACACATGTATGTCTGTGTGTGCATGCTCCTGCTTGGGTTCGCTTGCCGGTGCCATGCATGTACAGTACTGGCAACTGAAATCCACCCCCCCCCCCCCCCCCCCCTAGCGGTGCGCTAACCGCGTTAGCGATTCGTACGAGACACTGGGGGGGGGGGGGGGGGGGGGGGGGGGGGGACTCGGATTTCAGTTGCCAGCACTGTAGTATGCTATTATGTCTCACTGGTAGCCTGACTAGAGCAGGCATCTTCTGTGCACAATCTATTGCTAATGCCTGAAGTTGCTTGTGCATAACACTGCAGGATCACGATGTACTGACACTATAGCTCACTGAAGCTTCCATGTTCATGACTGATTGTACTGCATGTCCTTAACTGTAACCAGGGGAGGGACATGGGGAATGGGGGGGTGGGGAGATGGGGGTGGGCGGGGGGGGGGGAGGGGGGGGGCAACATGACTACAAGACGCATAGTGACTGTAAGCTGGCCTTTCCACCGTCAGCTTTCCAATGACTTGTATTGCGCTTCTCGCCGTGCCCTCCCGCAGGCTAATGGCTCGGCTGCGGCGGAGGACGTCACGTCACCGAAGAAAGGCGGCCTCTTGCAGGGCGTGAAGAGTATTGTGAAGCGGCAGGTAAGCATCGATCGACAAACTACAATAATGCATTATTGCTGGGCTTTTGTGCTAGATCCTCCACCCGGTACCCCGCGTTACCACCATGCGCTCCCAGCTGAACCACTGCACAAAGCATAAACACACACCAGCAGCAGCACAGCAAGGACACTGGGCTGCTAATACATGTGCTGGGCTGCTCAATGAAATCTGATCATTGCCTTTGAGTTTTAAGGTTGCCGCGGCCACCCTGCACCAGTGCACCAGCTCACAGTCTTGTGCTCGCAGGTCTAGAGGGCTGCGTAGCGTGCCCTGCGTACCGTATTCCCCGATTATAAGTCGCACCCCCGTTTTCAGGTTTGAGCAATATTGATTTGATATATTGACTTCAGTAGTAAGTCACGCTCGATTGTAAGTAGTACGTTATATGTATAATAATATTACCTGAAGCCGGAGTGAATATGGGCGAATATTCACTAGTACACAAACCGAGGCATTGTCAGAGTATGTATTATCAGAGTATGTATTATCAGAGTACATAATCGTATGTATAATCAGTAGGAATTATCAGAGTATGTACAGTATTATCAGAGTACATAATTGTATGCATTATCAGAGTACATGATTGTACGTATTATCAGAGTATGTATTATCAGAGTTCCACTGTACATGATTGTATACCTTGGCCTTGCACGTGGCTTTAGCAGGTATGACGTTGATAGCACTGTGCTAGGTGGACGACCCACTGCATGGCACACCGTGCCCGACTGCTCACCCCAGACTGTTCATAATATGGAACGATCCCTGCCAATTGGGATGGAAACGCTTTAAAAAAAAAAACTTTGGAATTATGGCGTAAAGCTCGAGTTCCATCTACACTCCTTCCTTTTTTGTCAATGAATGCATGGTATGCTCAAATGAGACACCCTTAAAAGGCGGGCAGCATGCAGCCCAAGACATGTATATGTACATGGCATGTTCGAGACATACTCAAGGCATACCGGATAACCATAAGGTACGCTTTGAACACACTCAAGGCGTACTGAAGTGGTGTCTCGTTGAAACTTCTGACTGGTGTATTTTCTTCTTCTTCGTCTGTTGCCTAGGATAAGGAACATAAGGAAGAACAGAAAGCGGAGAAGAAAGCGGAAAAGAAGGCGGAGAAGAAGGCGGAAAAGAAGGAAGAAAAGAAAGCAGAGAAGACTGCCAAGTCACCCGCCTTACATCACTCTCAAAGCGAAGCGTCAATGGTATCAGCCGGGGTATGTTAACACGCACGTGCCCAGCGGAGCATTCCCAGCGCATTCGCTCTGAAGCATACTGGTTGCAGTGTACGGTAGTCTGTACAAAGTGTGTCGTGGCCAGTTCATTTTTAAAAGAGCATGCTCCTGCAAGTTGAGGCATACCGGATAACCATAAGGTACGCTTTGAACACACTCAAGGCGTACTGAAGTGGTGTCTCGTTGAAACTTCTGACTGGTGTATTTTCTTCTTCTTCGTCTGTTGCCTAGGATAAGGAACATAAGGAAGAACAGAAAGCGGAGAAGAAAGCGGAAAAGAAGGCGGAGAAGAAGGCGGAAAAGAAGGAAGAAAAGAAAGCAGAGAAGACTGCCAAGTCACCCGCCTTACATCACTCTCAAAGCGAAGCGTCAATGGTATCAGCCGGGGTATGTTAACACGCACGTGCCCAGCGGAGCATTCCCAGCGCATTCGCTCTGAAGCATACTGGTTGCAGTGTACGGTAGTCTGTACAAAGTGTGTCGTGGCCAGTTCATTTTTAAAAGAGCATGCTCCTGCAAGTTGGGATGGTCACATACATAATAGTATTGTGTAAGACAGTATATTCTCCTCCTTACTTGATTCCGGCTGTACCTCTAAGTGCACACACACACACACACACACACACACACACACACACACACACACACACACACACACACACACACACACACACACACACACACACACACACACACACACACACACACACACACACACACACACACACACACATGCACACACTCATACATGCATACACACACTCGCACACACTCTCTCTCCTCCATTTCTGCCATTCTTCTTGTTCAGCCCATGGCCGCGGCAACTAACAGTGGTCACGCCAAGGATAAGAAGGGGCTGCTAGACCGTTTGAAGATCACCAACACGCAAATGGAGTAAGTCACATCCTGCCAAGTTGCTGTAGCTTCAACAGATCTAGTGCCCAATGAAGGAACAGAGCACGCTTCATGCACTATCCCCTCTGGAACTAGACCCTGCCCCAGTAGTACTCCTCCTGCCCTACAGAGTTGCCGTATGTTCCACAGAGCTAAGCTAGTGACTAGTGAGCCGGTTACACAGCATGCTATTGTGTTATACTCCCCCCTCCCCCCCCCCCCCCCCCCCCACAGGGGCGGATCCAGAGATCTCTACAGGGGGTTCCGATTCAACCAAAATTGAACAGCCAAAATATTATGGAATCAGATTGCACGAAGGTCAAAAAGAATGGTTCCACCAATTATATATACATACGTTGTAACGCTGTGTCTCATGCACGTAGCTAAATGCTAAGGCAATCATCAGACAACATTGCCTTAGCATTTAGCTACGTGCATGAAACGCAGCGTTACAACGTATGTATATATAATTGGTGGAACCATTAAATTCTTTTTGACCTTTGTGGTTACGCTCCGCCATTGTGGTGTTGAGCACTGTTGAAACCTGGGTATACCCACTTATGGAATCAGATTGTATTGAAGTTGTGCGGTTTTAATTACGACAATCCGATTTTGTTAGTTGGAATCGCATGCTTTTAAACACACACTACGGACACATTCTTCCATCATCGACCACACGACAACTGCGCTCTCCAGCCGGTCTCGACACGTTGCCACAGCACACCACCAGCGCTGGAGCGCACAGTTGTGGTGTGGTGGACGATGGAAAGCCTGTACAGGGCCAAATGCTGCTGCTTACCATACATTGTACATTATTTAGTACGGACACATAATCATATACATGTATGCAATCGACTGGCACACCGGTTCAGTGAGGGATTGAAGACCCTTTCAACTTCTTGTAAAGATCGAATATGCAAGCCATGGGTACGTTGAGAGCCAGCAATGCCGAAATGACAACTTTCCCTGTCCATTTGTCCTTGCGGAAATTTTTAGCATTTTTACGATGGGAAATGCTCTATACTAGTAATCACAGGAGCATTGTCTTCACTTGACAGAAACAACAACAGTGGAACAGTGTCGACAATCCTTCCAATGTCATCTAAAACACATCGCTGGCGCAGCACTCCGTTGCTGCGGAGGAACAACTAGTCACTACTGCATGCTGCAGCAGGTAGAGATTACTGACTTTGCTTGGATGTCGGAGCCCTCATCTTCTGAGGAGCTTGAACTCTACGTGTACGATTCGAAGTTCGTTGAAGAGTGTCATCAATCGGAACATCCTTTCTCTTCCGGAAAAAAACTTGCCCATGGAATACTGACCGCACCCATCCAGAGCAGCAGTGAATGACAGCGCCAATGGAGGTAAGTTTGGATCGTTTTGAAAGATCAAAAAGGAAACAACCACCCAATGTTGTCTACAGTGTTCGTTTAACGTTTGTAAATCACGGACGTGAACACCAGTACAGACTACGTGCAGTATCGATCTACCGCATGCAGTGCACTGACTCTACTCCTTGACTCAGTGACTGCACTGTGATCGGACGGACGTCCTTTTGTGCACACATGATATTTTTCTCAGCAGTACACTTTTCAAAATTTAAGGGGTTTCATGGAACCCCGGAACCCCCCCCCCCCCCCCCCCCCGGATCCGTCACTGCCCCACCACCACCACCACCACCACCCCACGCAACAATACCCCCCGGGACTGAGACCCCAGCCCCCATGCAAACAATGATACCGCCCTGGGACTAGACCCTCCCCCCCCCCCCCCCTCCCTGCTCGTATACCTGTCCTGGGACTAGACCCCTGCCCCAGCACTCCTCCTGCCCCTTCACCTACCATGGAGCATGCGTATGCTCACCATACATACATCCTGCACTCCCTGATCAAGTGCTCTCTGTCATGCATGAACAAATAGAAGAACAACCGGATGCTGCCGAGGTCACCTACCTGGGGCGATGCTCTGTCATGCATGAACAAATAGAAGAACAACCGGATGCTGCTGAGGTCACCTACCTGGGGCGATGCTCTGTCATGCATGAACAAATAGAAGAACAACCGGATGCAGCCGAGGTCACCTACCTGGGGCGATGCTCTGTCATGCATGAACAAATAGAAGAACAACCGGATGCAGCCGAGGTCACCTACCTGGGGCGATCGGTCAGTTTTGGTACTTTACCGAACCCTGTTCTTCATGTGTTTGAATGCGTGTCGAAGGATCACCTGCGTTGGGGCCAGTCCCTGCACCGTGAAGTGCATGCAGGCTAACAAATATCCCTCCCTTTGATGGCACAAGCAATGTGTGTGTGTGTGCATGTGTGTGTGTGTGTGTGTGTGTGTGTGTGTGTGTATGTGTGTGTGTATGCATGTGTGAATTTGTGCATGCGCGTGTGTGTGTGTGTGTGTGTGTGTGTGTGTGTGTGTGTGTGTGTGTGTGTGTGTGTGTGCGTGTGTGTGTTCATGCATGTGTGCATGTTTTGCTTTACCCTCGCTCCGGCACCAGGGCACTACTGGAGGAGAACAGACAGCTGAAGGAGGAGAACGAAGACCTGATTGAGGAGAACCAGACGCAGGTGGATAGGATCGATGAGCTACAGATGCTGGTCCAGGACTTGAGACAAGAGGTTTGTGGCACAGTTCTCAGCGCAGAACTAGTACATTTAGTGAGCTATTTCAATTAGTTCAGTATTGCCGTAAAGTACCGCCAGAGCACCCCACCAACTGGTCCGTTCGTGGTCGTGCTGTGGAGGTGGTGTCCCGCCTGTAGGTCATACAACACGTGCCGAGTACACGCATCGCACTCTGTGATGTCAATCCGTACTCGATTCACCTTGGAGCTTCACACAAGAACATGCTAAGCGTGACAGCAGTACAGTAGTACAGGCGCGTGCGCTGGTGCCCTTGAAGGGGGTTCGGGGGCCTCCCCCGGGGAAAATTTCAAAAAATGAAGCAAAATCCTGCATTTTGAGCGAAAAAGGGGGGGGGGGGTCCGGGCACCCAGGAACCCATACGGGGCACGCGCCTGCAGTAGTACACAAAGGTTTTCACACCGTACACACTTTGTTGCACTCTGCCATACGATGTTCCTTTTCCTGGCCGTAAAACCAAGGTGGGGCGCTCTCGCGGCACGGTACAATACGGACATACGTCTGCAACACACCAGTATGATATTATGGCGTTGAACCGGTAAATGTTCTTCTATCTGCGTGCCGCAGGCGGAGATCGCGGAAGCGGAGAAATCCAAGCTGGAGAAGCAGATCACCGAGCTCAACGTCCAGCTGTCTGTGAGTTGTCCAGGCCTCTGCAGACTGTGCCGCTATACTGCATGCTCAGTGTATGATGCAGTCATTGTGTTCTCCTCCATGCTTGCCCCAGTGTACTTGTACACACCGCTGATGTGATGCAATAGCTGCTTTGAACTAGCAACGGCGGAAGCAGTTTTTGATTGGTCCGGCCCGGCATACCCTAGCCTGTCATACTCTGTGTACGATATGGAGGATACTGTATAGCAGGAAATATTCGGACGGGATATATTTTCGTACGATTTCGTACACGGCCTTTTTGTACTAAAATTAATCCCGTACTAAAATTTGTTCATGTGACTTTATGTGCACTGTACATGGGTACTGCTTGCGAACACGTGCATTTAGCATGCAGCACTGTACGAAAATAAAATCCGTACGAAAGGTCGAAATTCGGCTTTGTCCGAAAATATTTCCGTCCGAAAATTTCCTGCTATACAGTACCATGGCATACGTGACCTCCTCAGCAGTAAACACACGTCAGTGGCCAAAGGGTTGGTCCGGCCATGGCCTGACCAACCGGACCGGTTCCGCCGGGCCTGCATTCTAACTTTCAGAGACCAGATTATCTGATCACGTTTCAACAGCCATGACGTAGAGCCAGGTCGGTGCCCAGAAAGACGTGAATGAACACAGTAACATGGCGGATCACACCTGTATGTTTTAGAGAGCCGGTAGCTTCTGACAAGCTGCATGGTACCGCAAGCGTGCAAAATCAAATTGACTGTCCTGCGTTAGTGTGTGGTGCATACTCAACTGAGTGGTTAGCACTATTGCCATGTTTGGTAAATGTACATGTGCATGCATGCACACTGAACAGTTCATCTTCATCTTTCGTACGCAAAACTGCCGTTTGAAAGGCCAAGGCGTGCTGTTTGCGCTGTGGTTGTGTTTTAACATAACATACACATGCTGTGTGTTATCGCGTGTCCAGCCTGCATCCATCGGGAAAGTACTGTCTGTACCAGGACTGTACCTGGAAAGGCTCTGAGTTTTGTGCGGGTACTAGACTACTAGTCACAGTGCTGTTCAATGAAATCCGGTCCCGTGAGTCCAGTTTGTGCCCTGCACCATTTCCCAGCCCAGTGTTCACAGGTCTAGAGCTGCGCAACGCCCGGCATGGCGTACTTGAGTGACGCGACTGGATTTCATTGAGCAGCATTGTACTAGTATGCATACCGTGGCAATCATGGGTTTGTGTATGTGCAGCAAATTGCAATAGTAATACTGTTCATCCATACATGTATGCTGTGTGTCCGCCTCTGTCGTGTGTTGTGCATAGCTCAAAGGCTGGCTGTCCAAGCGAGGTGCCGTAGGGCCGACGAAGAACGTCTTCAGGCGGCGCTACTTCGAGCTCGGATCAGAGGGCATTTTGAATTATTACAGAGAGACCGATGACGTTAATCCGAAAGGGTAGGTAAAGTGGATACCATCCTTTTGTATAGCTATGTTGCACCTTACCAGTATCATATGACCAGATCGGGCAGCTATGTTACTTCCAGTTATTATCACCAAGCGTACAGTTCATGCACTCTTGCTCTCACCCTATGGCGTACAGAGCAACACTGCTCACCGGTGAACAGGTGAACTGGTCTTTTATTTTATTTTAGAATGCATCTGGCTGAAAAATGCACAGTGCACCGCGTAACCCCTATGGTGTACTGTAACATACACCCAGCAATGTGGTCACATGAACTAGTTTCGCTCCGTGTGATCTATACCTTTATATACTGTAAGACCAGATATTTTAACTTCAATTAAAGTTAATGATCTCCGGATATTTGTGGGTAAGCGAGATGAAGTTCTAACGAATTCCGTCTCAAAACCGGCAAATGACTGCACATGTACATATCGTTTTGTACGTAACGACTTCGAATGTCGACTAATTTTTTAAATTCGTTAAATCGTTAGAATTAAATGTCCGTTAACATTACTGGTCTTACGGTAGCCTAAAATCCAGTTGTTCTGTCTCCTATACCCGGTCACACAGCACGATAGACCTGAACACAATGTCCGGCGTTCAGGAACAGATGCCCGAGCATCAGGTGGACGCGGAGGCCGCCGTCTTCAAGCTCGTAACCCAGTCCAGAACGTACGAGCTGATGGCCAGGGATCGAGCCACCATGAACCGGTGAGTCAGGCGAGGAGCCCGTATGATAGTCAGCGTAGTCCGGTCAGCACACCTGCAAATGGCTAGCATAGTGAAAATAGGTAAAATATGGCGAATGTGAGGTACATGGACACCACACCACAGATAAGTGCTAGCACAGGGTCACCACACCACAGATATGCAAGCTACACCCCTGTGAGTGGACACTGCTGAAGAGGCTCGAGGATGGCTCATAAACTGCTGCATGGTTGTCGCAGCTATGTGCTTGCTGCTTTTATTACCATTTTACTGACTGGATTCTGTCTCTGTTTGAAATTCCTCTATGTCTGTCTGTCTGTCTCTCTCTCTCTCTCTCTCTCTCTCTCTCTCTCTCTCTCTCTCTCTCTCTCTCTCTCTCTCTCTCTCTCTCTCTCTCTCTCTCTCTCTCTCTCTCTCTCTCTCTTTCTCCTTCTCTCTGTCTCTCTCTCTTTCCGGCTTTCCTCTGTTCCCTTTCTGCAGGTGGATCAATGCCCTAGATACATACCACAGCATGCTGAAGTCCAAGAGCAAGAAGGGCTGAGTGCCTGTGCTTGGTGTCACTGCTGTGCAGTGCTCTAGCACAGGCATGACTGCCATTGCACACCTAAGTTGATTCCATTACCATTTCGAACTAGATTCTATTGACTGCACAGAGCTGTGCTCCAAAGAGGTTCACTGAGATTCGTTTTTACGCAGAGATTTATCTATCAGCAGTGCACGTTCATGTCCGAGTGTCTCTCAGTCGGTCTAGTCAAGGCTGAGTGCGAGCGCAGATAACGCCAGGACTCGCAGCAGCTAGCCGGCTGTTGCTTCTGGCCCGTCCGCTGTGCCACGGCTTTCGCCCGGCAATGTGGCCGTGTGCTCTCATGCTTGTAGGGCAGTGATCACGGCATGGTTGGTAACGGATGTGCGGCACACAAAGCCATGACAAGCCTGTTCGCTGGATTGCCCTACCGTTTACAATACTGGCACTAGCCACCGGCCTTCCCAACCCTGACTGTTTCCGGCGTGCATTGGCATCATTTTAGCGGTATATTCTTATCATTGTTATGGACTGGTTGTAGAGCAATCAGCATGTTCTTTCATAGTGTGCAGCGTTCTGTTATTCAACAGTACCACCAAGAAGTGGCAAGAGCCCATAACTCTGGGGGTTATGGACTCTTGCCTCTTGGTACCACTCAAGGGGGAAGCCCTCAAGGGAAAATCCCTTTTCCAGGATCTCTATATGAGTGCTGCGTACTCTGCCCAAAATGGGTACCCTGGATGTTACCAATTGTACATGGTAAACGTTCTGTACAGGTTATTATTACTCTTGATGACGTGTAACTGCATGACTGCGGCCTGGCTGCATATTCATCCGTTCACCATGTACATAGCACTACAATGAATTTGCTGTCTCACATGGAGACTCTGACTATGGTATACTCAATTACTACTTTGCAGAGTCCTGGCACTTTATTTTCTCATGCAGAATTCCTCCTTGATCGCTGCTGCAGATGATCTGTTCTTGTAGATTTTGACTTGCCGATCAGCCTCAGTACATGTAGATCAGGGAGTCGTAAAATACCGGTATTTTACGACTCCCCGATGTAGTCATGTACATTCTATTCACTATTGACTATTGTGATTGGATTTCCAATACCCGATGATCTTGTTTGCTCCATTTTCAACAACCATTTCCTTCAAATCTCTTTCAAGCGGATATCAAACTCCGTATTTACCCAGAGTCTCTTTTTCTGCATGTGTAATAATGTTTTTGAAATTATATTTCCTACCTTTGAAATTGAACACATGACGACTCCCTGTCCTGGGACATTTCTATGTTATTCTTCCTCTGGCACTTTGCAGGTCAGTCTGGGTGCCTGTATGATTGAGCAAGTGTGCTAGCAGCAGTACAGTACAAGTGTTTTATCTTCACTGACCACAGCAGATGATGGCACGCACCATCCATACATTGTTATGCGCACCAAGAGCATGCGCCAAATCACCAATCCACTCCTACCGCTTTATCACACGCACTCTTGAAAGTTGTCTATGTAGGATATCATTATCAATTCAGTTCTAGAGCAAATGACCAGCTAGCAGTAGCACCACGTGAAGTGGCATGCAATGTACCAGTATGATTCCAGAGCACACTCTCCATGCACAGTGACATTCAAGGCTTCAGTAGCAGCAAACAGGATACTCCAGGCGTGCGGTGAGAAATAACAAAGAGTTGCACCAAGCCAAAATTCAAAAGAATCAAAATTATTGCACGCCACGCCTCAGGATGGTACATGATTGTACAGTCGAGCTAAGACGGATCACCAGCGGACAAGAATACAATGTAGTGAGCGAGCACTCAGTTACCTCAGACGAAAACGAGAGACCAAAACAGTAACTACTTGGAAGTACATCCATGACAGTGCACGGCCTCACGACTAAAACGAGAGATCAACAAAGTAACGATAATCCATGGAAGTACATGGAACTAGAGCCTATGCTAGCGCTAGCGGCGGAATCAACAACACCGATAAAACCACAATGGCCAGAATGAATAATAAATAATTAAAAACGACGCCAGCACGGCATGGGATGTCAATGTCAGGTATGTGGAGGGAGTGTAAGAGCAACGGGAATGTAACATTACATGGACATGCTAAGCTCGAGGACATGAGCAGAAATGCCTAAGATTGACATATGTACAAGCTCTGCCGGGACCATACAAGAGAACAAGGGTCGGAAAGCAGCCACTGAACGCAAACACACAACATAGTGCAGCTACCTAAACTAGCGCAAGGGCAGCAATTTGTACAGGGTCAGCCACCCAAGCATGGCAAGCGGTATGTACAGCAGACAAAAACAAAAAAGCCCATATGGGGCGAGTATATTTACAAGACAACAGGTAGCGGGCCATTCTCGAAGATAGAAGCAGCACGCCTCTCGCCGTGGTAGTTGTGTATATATCAGTAGATGTACAAACGTAATAGTCTTCATGTAGCGTTGCGTAGGTGTACACAACGGCTTGCCGATACTATAAGTCAACCTTCTGATGGTCCAGCTTGCTCTTATGGCTCTTGGCCATGAAGATGAAGTATGCTAAGATCTCTCGCTCAGATGACACAGGGATGCTAGAGAAATGCCGAGACACAACCTATGAGGAATGTGAAAAGACACCCCGCACATACCCACACAAAAACAAACAACACGTATCATCAGCACAGACGCCGCTTTGCAACAAATGAACACATCTTATCAGCAGGATTAAACCCAGCACACCAGCCAAGACACACGATACAGTCGACTCCACTTGTAACGAACTCGCATATAGTGAACCCTTGTCCGTGTCTGAACCCATACAAAATTGACCCTTTATAGCGAACCGTTTTCGTTTAGAACGAACCAAATCAAGTGCATTCATACTGTCATGGACCACTTGCCAATCAGGACTTGCTGCTTGTATGGTATGAGTGCATTTCTGTTACAACGAACTTTGGCTATAAAGAACAAGTTCTCCTGCACAATGGTGTTCGTTATATCAGGAGTCGACTGTAGTACCCTGGGGCAATGGACCCATTGCGCAATGACGTAATTTGTACCATAAACACCCTTCACAGCCACCTAGGGGGGGTCGTCTGGGGTGTTGAACAGTGCACTCCTGATCCCAGCATACTCACAAGCATTATTCATGCATTCCATATTTGGCTGTGAAGGGTGTTTTACGTCATTGCGCAATGGGTCTATTAGTATTAACATAAGAGTAGGTTCTGCAACGCACAACAAACAAATTCACGGTTCGCATGAGAGTAGGCTGGAGGCTGAGTTTTCCGCACCCTCTAACTGTTAGGATCAAGGCGCACATGCAGCTCCCAAGTGGTGGGAGGTGAGTAGATCAGACCCACCACCAAGTGGTCAAAGACCGAAAATCCCATTCGCTGCAATCCATGCTTCCCTCGTGCCAGGCCACGAGTTCCGAATTAACTGTGGGTCGCAGCACGGCTGGAAAAAAATCCCTCCGCTTCCAAGCAGAACTTGAACCTGGTACCCTCTGTTTCTCAATCACGGTCTTAGACCATCCCACTATGCCTGCCTGCAACGCATAAAAATGATGCTGGAAATGCACAATTCCTTAGCATTTTATGTTCAGGTATTCAGGTACGTAGCAAGAGGGACCCATGAATGTGTGTGATCGGCGGTAGCCTAATCGGCAGGGCACTGTCCCGGAAAGACAGGGGTGCTGGGTTCGAATCCCGCTTGTGGATCCTTCTTTTGCAACAGGTACTACCCGAACATTTGCCCAGTCCTTCACAGAACACGGTTCGTGACTTTGTCCCCCCCCCCCCCCCGCGCCAATGTAAGAGATTCTGACACATGCCCCACTCACCTCGACAAGCTGTGCCTTGTTGAGGCCAGGCCGAACCTGCAGCTTGAAGTGACGCTTATAGCGGCGCAGGGTGTTCACCTGCAGCTGGCTCAGGTCGACCTGCAACCAAACCAAACGCAACAACACAATACGCATGTCTCTGGTCCAGGCTCAACGTACTCGTAGGCAGCGAAACGTGCACAACCGCGACTCAAACAAGTGGCGGTGGACGGGGTGTGAGCGCGTGTGCATCGCACAACAGTAGTGGTTTAGGATCTATACGGCTTCAACACTGTCTAATGCCACTGCCGTAAAGTCGAGGATAAGCGGCCACCCTGACGTGCCTGAAATTTCCGGATTTAGAAATGGCGTGCAGCTGTAGGCATGGATACAGCCATGCTAGCACAAGCCAGCAGTGAGATCGAGCGTACCAGTACAACACAGCTAGCTATGTGTAGATCGAGCGTACCAGTACAACACAGCTAGCTATGTGTAGATCGAGCGTACCAGTACAACACAGCTAGCTATGTGTAAATCGAGTATAGCAGTGCTGCACAGCTAGCTATGTGTAGATTGAGTATACCCGTGCAGCACAGCTAGCTTTGTGTACATTGAGTATACCAATGCTACGTGCATCAACAGTAGGCTAGGCCACATGGTTTGAGGGGCACGGCATGTTTTTCTCTTGTTAGACAAACCACCAAAGGGGCACAGACTCTCCCCACTCCAGCCCTGCACTTCGGTTTCATCACGTATGCACCGCGCCGCCACGTGAAGAGCACTATGGATACGCAATGACACAAGGATGATGTTCCCATTATCGCACTGGATCAAAATGGTAACGAGCTAGCAAAGATTGCAAAGCTTACAAGTTACAACACACCCCAGGTACTACATGATCTTCAGCAGCACGTGATCCGAGTTCACCATGCCTGGAAACAGAGTATTCCCCGTTGGCCACCGGCACACACACACACACACACACACACACACACACACACACACACACACACACACACACACACTGCCTTGGCATGGGATCAGCACCGCGGCAGGTCAAAACAGTTCAATATAGGAAAACTTCCCAGCCCTCACTGCCTCAGCACTGGTGTTTCCCCATACAATCCATGTCACAATCTGATTATCTACCATGTACATTTCCATTAGCTCATACCAGCAGTTACTGCCACAGGGGCCCCAGAGAGAGAGAGAGAGAGAGAGAGAGAGAGAGAGAGAGAGAGAGAGAGAGAGAGAGAGAGAGAGAGAGAGAGAGAGAGAGAGAGAGAGAGAGAGAGAGAGAGAGAGAGAGAGAGAGAGAGAGAGAGAGAGAGAGAGAGCTAAAGTCAACTGTTTGTACATGCTCAGCGGGTAGTACTCATTGCTGTACGGACGTAGCATACACACACACACACTCCGTGACGCCCATTGCCGGAGGCGATGACAGCGATGCTACAGCAGAAACCATAGGAACTTGTGCTGAGATTGCACCATACAACAGCTTGCAAGGCCGAAGAATTGACCACCATCATTCAGCCTGCTGTATACCACACAGACTTTGAAGTCGATACTCCACATGTACAAGAGGGGTGATGTACGCACTTTGTGTCAATGATCCACTGAAAGGGGTAGATTTACGCCTGTGCACTTCTATCAGCCCTTTCACATACACACACACACACACACACACGCACACTGTATCAACTTAGCATTCTCCTGGCTATTACTTGTATAACATCTCAACATGGTAGAATACTCACTTGCACCATGTCTTTGTGCTAGCTTGTGACTTGTTCCATACTAGTAGTGTGAATTCTGTCCCCACGCTGTCTTGTATTAGCTTATATTTGCTATCTTTGTATCCTCTCCCTATCCTTCAAGATGCGCCCCAGTCCTGGGTGAAAATTCTACGAAAAGTGAGTCACGTGGTGTCGCCAAGGACTGTTTGTGTGTTGCGGGTTGAACGTTAGTTGGAAAGTTTTCACAAATTCTACTAAAAAGTATTACTATAATACTCAAGCCTTGTACAACCACCTGGCTCACCAGACTTCAACGACTGTGAGGTACACATAGTCCATTTCAAAACTATAGACGCGTACCTAGGCAAAAACCGTTATGCCAGCATCTATACCACATAAAATCTGTGATCACTTTGTGCATAAAATTTTCCAAATTGGGCGTCCAATCGTTTAGAAACTATAATTATGAGTAATTGTGGAGCGGACCTGAGCAATATTCCGAAAACTATTCTCAAAAAGCTCCAGCCAAATTTGAAATATTTCAAAAACCCTACGCGTCTATAGTTTTGAAATGGACTGTAGTACTGCCTAGCCTTCTACTGACAGGAACAAGTCGGCATGAGCGCATAGTCACACAGGCAGGCAGTGCCAAAAGAGAATAAAAAGCGACCAGAAGTGCTGATCTCTATCCGCAACAACATGGTTTGAAGAGGAGAATTTTTTTGACAAACCATGACGACATTATCAGCGAACGAACACAGAAGTAACTACACGTGGAATGAAGAAATTAATGGAGGGCACTAAACCATTATTTTAATAATTACATACTCAGTGCGCAATTGCCTGCAGACTTATTTCAGCTATTTCGGTGCTGGCGCGAAACAAAATTAATAAGAGCATTCTGCGAAGCGTATCATGAACAGCTCGACAAACAAGAACGTAAACTTACCTCGGGAAAGTCACCTTCGTCGTCCGATTCTTTGCGTTTGCGCTTATGGCGTGGGTTCTGCATCCTGAAAATAGTTCCAACAAGAATACACTGACCTAACTGAGACAGGAGTGCACACAACCGGGACTGAAATTAAAGTTCAACCTCGAGAAAAATCAGTTGCCCAACTCAGGACAAGCAAGATTCACAACTACATGTACAACACGGCACTCGCTGCTCGACGAGAAAGCACAAACACAAACACAAACAAAGAGAGTTTGATTTTCGTCAGGGCTGCACTGAGCTGAGGCCGAGATTTTTTGTAGGGATGCATGGCAGCATGCAGTCAGTACGTGCGGCGTGCGCCGATATGCAGTGACGAAATCAAAAGCTAACGCACGTGATGCGTACTCATAGTGCGCGCCATTTCCAGACTAGCGCGCGACTGGGCTAGGCATGAATGCCCGCTGTGCGTTATAACGTTACGAGACACTGATAGTGATACAGTGCACTAGTGATAGTCAACACCGACCACCGCAAGAGTAGCAGCTATGTGCCATGCATGATGTGCCAGCATGAGAACATAATCCCAACTACACCGCCAATCAGAGCTGCAGAAAGGGGAAGGGAGAGCATTCAAACATGTTCAGTAGCAGCTTCGCGCGTTTTCTTCGGTGCACTCATGAGCTCACAAGGCTGCTGGAAAAATAGCGCACGTGAGGCCCTAGTAGTGTATGTAGAAGCCAAGGCACGGCCTACAAAACTCCAGTGAGTTGGCGCGCTACAAAGCTAGCCTAGCAAGAATCACTACTAGATGCACCGTGTACATAATGCTATGCAAGCGCCGCGTGCAAGCAACAGTTCACTGTGTACCTAGATAGTGTAGCGTGCTTTTTGTACGTGCTGAGCAGAGCAAGTTTGGAAGACTCTTTCCTGTGTGCCTTTTAGTACTGCCGACTGAACCTACCTGTTAGCTAACTGCAGATAAAAAAATACTGGAATTGTAGAAGAGCTCAACAATTTAGTGTACTTTCAGCAATGCCTCGATCAGACAAAGACCCAGCCCGACCAAAGGGCCGCATGACGGCCTATGCCTTCTTCGTGCAAGCGCAGCGAGATCATTTGAAAAAGACACAGCCGGAGAAGAATGTCGATTTCAAAGAGTTCTCTCGTTGCTGCTCGACAGACTGGAAGAAAATTGAGGAGAAAGACAAGCTAAAATACGAGGCTCTCGCGCAAGCAGACAAAGTGCGCTACGACAGGGAAATGGCGTCATATGTACCTCAGGATGATGGCTCAGGAAAGAAGAAAGGAAAGAAGACGAAGGACCCTAACGCTCCAAAGCGGGGAATGTAAGTAGAAAAAGCAGCGCATTCTGCTGTGTTTTAGAAGCGATAAGCATTGTAAGCATTGCGCAATTTCATGGGTAATCTGGAGCTGCAGATAGAAATTGAAATTGTTTTCTGAATTGGTGCTAGTTCGGAAATTTTGTCTCGAAATTTCTCGCTAAGTTGTTGCTGTTTGTCTTTCTCTCTCTCTCCCGGCGTGCCTTCTATTCCTGCTCAGGTCTGGATTTCTCTTCTACTGCAGCGACCGCCGTCCAGTGCTGAAAGCAGCGAACCCCGAGTGGGGAATGAGCGACCTGTCCCGAGCTCTAGGCGACGAGTGGAGAGCGTTTACCGACGCCCAGAAAGAGCCATACCTCAAGAAGGCCACCGCCGACAAGGAGAGATACCAACATCAAATGGCGTGCTACAAGAAGGGAGGATCGTGGCGAGACGCAGATTACTAATTCGGGCTAAAGCTGATGATTGCTGGGGGGTTATACCAGATGTGATGAAAACAATCTTTTTCCAATGTTACAGTCAACGCCGAATCGCGATGTATTTCTTGTTCGTCATTATCCATCCGTATTACAAGCAGCAGACTAACTTCTTGTCCTAGTTTCTTCTTGGAGCGTACTCGCGCCAGTTTTTTTATTATCTCTTTTCATTGAGACTACCTATAGCGTAACTCACCTGGTTGGAATTATCTCTTTGTTCGTCGCTTGGTCATTCCAGCCTCGCTCTTTATTCGCTGCCATTTCCACTGATACTCCACGAATGTGTACAGACAAGTATCTCACCACTGAAACTAGCAGTAACTATAACAGTTGAAGAAGAAACGAAGAAGAAAGACTTCTTGTTGTTAGCTGTTCGGGGGCATGATTGGAAGAGCACCCCAACTCGCAACTGCACATCATGCAGCAATGGAAAGTTGTGTATGAGTGGCAGTGGAGGCATTGACATTAGACTCGGGCCTCCAGTAGAGACTAGAGTGTAGGCTACATCACTGACTCAGTAGGCAGCCAGAGCTAGATCGAGCGCATGTACTGCCACCGTTGCGTTGCCTGCATCTCAAAAGACTACAAGCTAGGCCACTGACTGAGTCTGTGTGGCGGCTACACTCACTACTACTGTCCAGTTCATGATCTAGTGGCAGTAATGCCAGTATGCTGTGCTTTTTGCAGTCTACACTGATGTAGACTGTGCAGTACATACACGCGCAACACACATCGCCACCACCACCACCTCACGCTCAGTCAACACTAGTGCACTAGTCGTGACTAGATCCTAACAGTGGACAGAGCGCGGACAACCCCTGCAAAGCATGTTCTAGTTCACTCCGCATGTGTGGAAGGTCGATTTTGGTCCGAACGGACTTTGAGTCTGACCAAAGCATTTCACCGTGGCTAGTGCTGTTCATGGTGTCTTTGTGAAGCTCTAGAGCAGTAGAGGTTCGGTCTATGACAAAATAATGGTCAGCTTGTCTTCGTTCAGAACCTGTGCATGTGCATGCCATGATAGTGCACTGCATCACGCTAAGGGAGCGCACGCACACAAGCACGGCATGATCAGGGCTCTGCAGTGAAGTGTAGGTACGCAGGCCACTCTCTGTACAAGCAGCGTTCATATTCATGCTGCGCTGCAAGTGAAGGCTTCACTCAGCCTCCGCCTGTCCTTGACTTGATCGTACAGTCCACACTCACAGTGTGCAAGTATAGAAGACGTGCATGTAGTCTTGACTCCAGTCCAGACTGGCTCCTACTCTGTACTGTAGAGTGCTAGCTTGGTCTTGACTTGCACAGCTTGCTCTCCGCTCTCATTCAGTGTAGCCGGTAGCAGGGCTCAGGCACGACTGAGGCCTGGATGGGCTTCATGCACAGGACTGGGCCCCAGTCAGAAGCCACCGTACCACCACGCGCACTGAGTGGCTGCCACAGACTGCAGACGTACAGCCGCACTGACTTGTGAAAGGCTGGCTGGCCGGCTGTGCATGCATGCGGCCAGCCTAGCCACTCACTCACACCATGACCAGGTAGGCGCGCACTGCACTGGCATGGCACTGTCAGTGCACTGCATGCTTCACTGCATGCTTGCACAGTCAGTACAGCCTACACTACAGGCTACACTACACTCTACAGACTGTACACTCAGTGTCAGTACAGGAGTGCCGCACTACATGTAGTAAAATGTACTAAGCTCTGTCTCTGTCATAGTCATTGAGCACTCTCTGCAGCTCGATCGGGGATCAACGGGATCTGCTATGTACACTATAAATAATTAGTAGTACTAGTAATGATTATGTGACCAGCTGTGACAAGCTGTGGACTGTGTTAGTCTGTACTGTACAGAGTGGACCCGCTCAGCAGCTACCGGTAGTCTGTGCAGACTTGTACAGAATCAGTATCTGTGGCTGGCATGGCATGCCTCAGCACACATCCGGCTGCTGACGAGTGCTAGCGACTGCGTAGTCGGTACATGTACAGTATACAGCGTAGATCTATGATGACTGTACCCCTGTAGTGTAGCCTACTGACAGTACTGTAGGCTGTGTATCCTGTTGTTAGTGTTGCAGTGGCGAACCGAGTCTGTGTTGTCAGTAGCGTTGAGTGTTTGCGGCCCTCGCCGGACTGCAACAGACAGGCAGTGTACATAGCCATCGTTTTTGACGGATCTACTACCATGTAGATCTACCAGTGACCACTCGTACTTGATGGCACTACATCTACGGCACTAGATACCGCTAGCACTGCCATCCTACAGTATATGGTACAGTGGGCCTGGCCCTGGGATACTGCAGACAGTACTAGTACTAGTAGTACTCAGTAGTGACCGTGTAGATAGAGCCACCTCGACGCGTAGATCGACCTACGCCTGACCTGAGCCCACTGCTACGTAATGCTGAGAAGTGAAGGCGATCGTGCCTAGGCTAGGCACGATCATGTGGACTGAGTGAGTCTGTACAGGGAGTGAGGAGTGAGGACTGAGGAGGCTGCACTACCATGTACCACTGCATACCACACTAGCAGTAGTAGTAGTACGTCATACTGCACTAGGTCGCAAGTGGAAGACAGCCTGTAGGCTGTCGCCAGACCTAGCTAGCTAGACATCGACAGCGCCAGTCGAATGACGTCGATAGCAACCGTATGTCATGTACATGTATGATGTAGCATACCTACATACCTACATACATACACATGCTAGATCTACTGTCGACATGTCGTGGACATGGAAATCCGGTCGCACGTCTAGCGGCCCCAGGGCGCTGGTCATGCAGCCGTGGATAAGCGGTACGCACATGCATTTATGCGCTGCAGTGCGCTGGTCGGATCGGATCAACATGTGCACTGCACGCAGCGTAGTGAGGGCGCTGTCCCCGGTCAATCAACTGGATTTCCTTGTCCGCTACAGACGTAACGACGTACATGTAGTACAGAGCCACACTGACAGACAGTCCTTCGCATACATCGCGCATACATCGCACCACCACTCGCCGCCACGCTATTTTACTGAAACTGACTGCCCAGCGCTAGCACCTGCGAAATGAAATCCGATTGCGAAAGTCACATACACCTGATACACGCACACGGTGCACTTTAGCGCTACAGCCGATGGGCATGGCAGACCTGCGAGGCAGATCTACAAGTACATGTACAAGACTACATACAGTCATCAGGTCATGTCGTAGTAGTAGTGAGGGCGCTGACTCACTAGATCGGATTTCATTGAGCAGGCTGGCTAGGTGGCATGGGCCATGGCCGGCTGTGGTCCGCCACCGGTACGCGGTGCACGCGTCCATACTGCATACACGTACACTAGTAACACTACAGACAGTACAGTACAGACTACACAGTCCTGCCTGATCGATCGGACAACGCGATCTGCGCGGCGGCGCAACCCGATCATGCCTTCTGCAGGTATACGGCGCAACAAGATACAGACCTAGGCTACGTAGCTAGACCATGCATGGTAGACAGTTTACAAAAAGCCATGACAGTCATGTCGACAGTGTCAGTGTACGTGTACCATGGTGTACCATGCGGTCAATTCTGCAGCCTTGCAAGCTGTTGAATGGTGTAATCCCAGCACAAGTTGCTATGGCTTCTGCCGTAGCATTGCTATCATCGCCTCCGGCGATGGGCGTCAAAGCCGACAAAGGTCAGGTACCATGCAATGCATGCCCATGTATGCCGTAATAACTGGTTCATTTCACACACATACATGTACATGTACATGTACGTCACATAATGCATGGTTTTGTTCATTTTTTACACTCTTTATAGAATAAAAAACTGACGTACATGTATATGCGCAGTATAATTTTTATTTTTTATACACAGCAAGGTGCCCACCATTGTGTTTCAACATGTCCCAGCGACTTATCAAGTGAAGCTTGCCCTACCTGGATAGTGGGCTCTATACATACATGTACAGTGTACATGTATATTCCCTGCTAGATGTTGTTATAAAAATGTCGATTGGTCAGCCCATTTTATATCGTTATAGCAATATTGTTATAGGGCTTGAAAGTGATGACGTCAAAAACGGCCAGGGAGTACTAAGTTGACATCAGATTTCTATTTTGGATCCACTAAGGTGTGACTTTGCTATTGCCTCAGTATGTGGGTGCATAGCAACCCACTCATGTCGTATGCACGGGTGACTTTTACTTCGCCACCAGTTGTAACCCCGCCCCCAGTAGCCAAATCAGTCAGTTTCACTGGTTACATCACCTTGCTGTGAGTAAGACGGCTTGAAATGTGCTTGGATCCATACAAAAACTGGATCCAAGTGGATCCAATTTTTGAATTTTTGAAATTGTTGCTATGCTGTGACGTAGCACTTTCAAGCCCTATTATATATAGGTACCGGTAAGCCACTGTATACAAAAGTCAATGGAGTGATTAGGTTTGGCAGAATAATAATAATAGTTACAGTTCGCATGTCACTCATGGAAGGATCCATGGGCTTTAACGCATCTGTCAACGAAATCCAGGCAGAAGAGCCAACAAAAGGCATCTCATTATTGTTAGAACGTATCGCAGTAAGAACAACTACGCAAACGCAGCACATTTTTCCACAAGCATCAGCCATTTTTTCTTGTCTAGAGCCAGTTCAAACTTTTGACAGTCAGAAATATCAATATTGGCGTGCTTTAGATCATTTTTAATATTGTCAATCCATCTGAGATGGGGTCGGCCACGTGGGCGCTTGATGTCCCGGGTATTAATTGCCATCTCCAGTGCTTGGTAGGACGCTGAGTTACGTCCTTCGCGAACAACATGGCCCAGCCAGAGCAGCCGATGTCTGCGGCAGAAAAATATCGTTATAAGGGTAATATCGTTATAGAGGTTATCGTTATAAGGGTAGGTCGACTGTACATATACAAACTTAATACAAATTAAAAGCCTACAGTAAGATCTGGCGCCAAAGAACACTTCGCCAAGGAACACATAGGCTGGAAATTAGCACAAAATTTAGAACAATCCAGGCTAGATTTCCAGATTTAAAGGGGAAGTTAAGCCTAAAATCAAATGTTCACCAGTTGTTGTCTTCCGGGTGCCGAGTCGAATGGTCTCGGTCCTAGGTAGCTGAGACGCACCCTTCCTCCTTTATTCCCACTCGAGCTCGTGCACTTCAACCGAAACTGGGTGACTGCGCCCTACTAGGTGGGGATTTGTATGCGAAATGTCACTAAAAGAGCCAATTTGTTCTTATAAAAGCACGGATGACCGCGATTGGCCCATACGTTGAAGTCTTTTGGACGCTGAGTCGACTGGTTTTGGTCCGAAAAGGCTGCGATGCAGCGTTCGGGCCTTATTCCCAATCGAACATGGTTGAACAAGCGGTCACGTGCTCCTGCGTACACCAGTCACCTGGTCACCGCGCTAGCAGGCGACAACTTACTTTCACACCAAGGTTTAACTCGAGTGACAGGAATGCACCCAAACAGGCTGTAAGTTGTACCCTGCACTGCAGGACTGGTGCGATGACCAGGTGGCTGGTGTACACAGGAGCATGTGATCGCTTGTTCAACCATGTTCGATTGGGAATAAGGCCCGAACACTGCATCGCAGCCTTTTCGGACCAAAACCAGTCGACTCAGCGTCCAAAAGTCTACAACATATGGGCCAATCGCAACATATAGGCCACTTACGGTCATCCGTGCTTTTATGAGAACGAAATGGCACTTTTAGTGACATTGTGCGGCATACAAATCCCCATCTAGTAGGGCACAGTCGCCCAGCCCGGTTTCGGTTGAAGTGTGCGAGTTCGATTGGGAATAAAGGAGGAAGGGAGCGTCTCAGCTTCCTCGGACCAAGACCAATCGATTCAGCAGCCCGAAGACTACAACTGGTGAACATTTGATTTTAGGCTTAACTTCCCCTTTTAGAACGCATGTACTGTCGTGTTCTACATGTTCCTCACATTGTGTGCAGCACCAGTACCGAGTGATGTATCAGCCCGGTTGTTGGGATGCCGCATTAACTTTAGCGTTGCCATCAGTAACTGCCACTTGGAGATTACAACAGTATCTGCAGATCAGCACACACAAGTTGCCAGAATAAGGGGATTCTGAATTTGAAGTACATGCCGTCCAATGATTTAAAACAAAATAAGAGTAGACCTGTGTTAAGATGAACATGTGGGTCCAAGTTACGAGTTAATGAACCGTCAGACGCGCGCAATTTAGCACAAAACTGCCATGCAGAGAGCTGAGACATTTCACGGCATGAAAGTGAGCCCGAGCGCAGGACTAAGGGAGATTTCAGATCAATGTCAACATGACCATAGCCAGTGTCGTCGTGACATTCAAGTGTACTACGGGTATAGTGTGTAGTACTTGGTACACACTGAGCTCTGTGTCTTTCTCTTGTCTCCATAATACGAGTGTGGTAGATTTGGTGTCACGTGTTTGTTTCGTCTTGGTCGCTGTGGACACGTGTCATTGGTTGGTGGTGTTGTGCGCATGCGCGAAACTGTGTGAGCTAGTCTTTGGTCTGTCGTCTTGTCAAGATGTAGTCGTTTTCCGTGTTCTTGGTTACTCGTCAATAAAAAGAGTGTAAAAAGGCAGTCCAGTGGTGGCGGTTGAGCTGATGCAGTGATGGAGAAGTAATGTTAGACTTACAACTACAGTGGTCCCTCTATAATCCGGCACCATTTGTGCCACGGAAATCTGCTGGATTAGGGAGGGTGCTGGATTAACAAATCTGATCTACTGCTGCAATGTGCATGAAGAGGACATTTGGCTACTGAAAATTGTGCTGGTTTATCGAGGGTGCTGGATTATAAAGTGCCGGATTAGAGAGGGACGACTGTACAACACGAGCATTCACGTTATGCGCTTATCAGTTTGACCCTGAGTTCATGTCTGCTATCACGTGTCTCCTCTATTTCTGTTTGCTTCCACATGGTACACGGCTACGGTGTAGCGCTGCACGTGTTCTGTCACCTTGAACTTTAGCATAAATCGTACTTTAGTCATGCTCACACTTCCTTTTTGGTGGCATAATGTCACGTACCCGCACGTGCGGTTCTCCTGCGCTCTACTGCGCAGTACGGTAGTATTCCACATTTATTTCCCGTATCCTTTTCTGGCTGGCGGGCCCCTTTTGCTGTTTTGTCCTTGGAAGACAAGGGCTTGCTTTTCCATTTGTTGAGTCCGAAGAAGGATGACTGACGACACCTTCTCCAGACATTAAAACGGACAACGGGAACAAGTTATTGGGAGCGACATTTATTATAGACGACCAGACAAGAGACCAAGACGAACGAACGACTACGTTGAGGAGAGCGAGATTATTGGTGAGAGAGCTCGACTGAGAAACAACATAATATAAAGGGCCTGGGTAGCTATGGCAAACATGGGCGCGCAAGTAGCTACCCAGGCCAACGAAACGAAAGGTGAGTATGATGTAGTACGGGTGCATGCAGGCCGGCCAGCTTAGGAAAGGTTGTAGGTAAGATTGTACGGGAGGAGGCACCTAACACATTGGTAGTTGGAAGTCAGTGGCCGTTTTAGGACGCTCTTGGATTATGGATTTGAACTAAAACACAACGAAGAAATATCGCAATTGTCTCTTGATTCTCTGGCATTATATCCCAGTTCCTCCACAGATCAAGACACTCAGCGCCGGTACATGTACCCCCTCCCCTGAAATACAGGTATTGCCCCCCCCCCCCCCCCTCCCCCCTGGCCATCACATACCAATGTAGCTACTTCGAAGTAGCTGCTAAGCACCTCTGTTGTCTGTGCCATGTGTGGTCATACATGTGCATACATGTTTGGTTGACAGCATGTAAATGTGTTACAAGGCGGAGGACGCACTGTGTTCGGAAACCAAACTACATCCTCCACGGTTGGCAGAGTCCCGGTATTGGGACCATGTGAACCGTATGGGGGTTAGCCCTGGTTCTGACCCTCATTATATTAGGGAGTTGTTTGAGTCTTCTTGTTTTGTTTTTAGTACTGTCAGTCGTATATTCTTTGCTCGTTCTTGGATGTTAGTCCTGCGTAAATACTCTTGATACTTTAAAAAAATCCTTTTTAACCTTTCAGCGTTGGTTCTTTATTGTTTCTGTTATGTTTGCTCTTCTTATTTATTTATTGATTTATTTATTTCTGCAACTCGTAGCATGTCAAGACAGCCAATTGAATTGAAGAGAGGGTGAGACCAACCACGGAAGAAGAGAAAAAAGAGAAAAGAATGGCACGTATGCAAAGGGGTAGGGATTCGCAAGTTACAAAGCAATGGGATGCCCAGCGAGCTATGCAGCCGAAGTGGTGACTATGATTTTGTTTACTGGAAGATACTGAAGTGCTGTCTGACGAGGGTACGGAATTTGGGTATGTCTGGAGCTTGCCTAACACTGGGAGGCAGTTGGAGCCACGTGGAGTTGGAGGAAACGAAAGGGGAATTTACGGAATAGGGTAGATCTAGCTAGGGGGAGACGGACGCGGCTTCGGGTTGGTACCACCCGACTTAAACCAATTAAGTGACTGAAAATGAGCTGAGGGTGCTGGTCAAGAAAAATGCAATGAACCAGGGTGCACTTGGAAGCATCATTGGCAAGGTAGCGTTGCAAGGTGGTAGTGGATGCAGCAGCATACAAGTCTGGATTTAAGATGTAACGATCAGTACGAAAATATTATGCACGGTATACGGCGATAAAGAACTTCTAATTTTGCGATTTGGGTTTTGTTAATGGTGGACCAAGCAGGGAAGCCACATGTGAAGAGGGGGAGAATGTATAATTTATAAAAATTAATCTGGCAATTGTGGTGCAAATGGGAGAAGTGACTTGTCATTATGCCGACAGATCGGCATACGCGTGTGGACACATGGTCAGCATGGTAAGACCAGGAGAGGGCGAAATCTATGACAATGCCAAGGTGTTTATGATGGGGCGCTACAGAAATAGGGTGACCAGGACGGTCGTCGGGAAAGTGGAAGATCCTGGGCTTTCTTTTCTTTTATACCCTTTTCTTTATTTCTCCAACTTCTGCCCATGGCGTCCTTCTCTCAGTTCGTCAGCTGACAACAGTCACTGTCACCACCAGGACACTGTCGTAAGAAGGTGCTCTCTGTAGACGAGGTCGGTGATGTCCCGACGCGAAAAGGGCTAAGTATCAAGAGGATTTACGCATGACTGACATCCAAGAACGAGCGAAGAATACACGACTGACAGTACACTAGCAAAAACAAGAAGACTCAAACAACTCCCTAGTAATATGAGGGTCAGAACCAGGGCCGCAGTAATCCCCATACGGTTCAAATAGTCCCATGCAATACCGGTACTCTGCCAACCGTGGAGGTGACATCCAAGAACGAGCGAAGAATACACGACAGACAGTACAATAGCAAAAACAAGAATACTCAAACAACTCCCTAGTAATATGAGGGTCAGACCCAGGGCTAATCCCCATACGGTTCAAATAGTCCCATGCAATACGGGGACTCTGCCAACCGTGGAGGTTGTAGTAAGGGCCATTGTTTCCGAACACAGTGCATCCTCCCCATGTTACATGCTGTCAACCAAACAATGTGTTTTCAACGAAACAAGGCTTATCAAATAACTGTTACCATGTACATACTGAGGGCTCTGGCAAGACCTCACACCACTACGAGCTGTACACATGGCAAGTAAAGGTCTTCGGCCACAATATGAGTGGGTAGTCCACGTACGTACTTGTGGACACACACACACACATACACATGTACACACACACACACATACACACACACACACACCGTCACGCACTATCCAAACACCGGCAATGTCTTACTTTACTGTGTAGCCTTGTCCGCAGCTTCCTGGAGTCTCAGTCTTGCTCGCACCTACGTATTTTTATAAATGAAAGTGCACACGCCTACATAGAATGGAAGAGCAGCAGCAACAGCAACAACAACAAAAACAACAACACTATAAATAACAACAACAACACCATGCAAGAGCACATAGCACATCATACGGTACATACACAGCAGCATGGACAGCAGCCATGGAGCGGAGTGGCCGTAGTTGCAGGCAGTGCATGCAGCAGAGCATCAGTCACCGTCATTGTCATCCACACAGCACCAGCATACTGGATGAATGCCGCCAACTGGTTCTTGTAATAATACAATTATTGTTCCCACGGTATGGGCTGGTAGTGCTAGTAGATCTTACAGACCACACATAGTAATACAGTGGTCCCTCTATAATCCGGCACCATTTGTGCCACGGAAATCTGCTGGATTAGGGAGGGTGCTGGATTAACAAATCTGATCTACTGCTGCAATGTGCATGAAGAGGACATTATTTTGGCTACTGAAAATTGTGCTGGTTTATAGAGGGTGCTGGTTTATAAAGTGCCGGATTAGAGAGGGACGACTGTATTACCGTAAAGCCCCGTCAGAGCGCCCCCACCTTGATTTTACAGCCAAGGAAAGGAAAATCATGGCGTGTGGCAGAGTGCAACGAAGTTTGTACAGCATGAGAACCTGCTAAGCTAAGGTCACACTTGGCCGGTTTTTGTGTGGAGTTCGTGGCCGCTTGAAGGTAAATGGAGTACGGATTTACTGCAGAATGTGTAATATGTGTACAGGGTTCGTGTCGTGTGACCTACAGGCAGGAGATCACCTCCACAATACAACCACGAAAGGACGAGATGGTGGGGCGCTCTGGCGGTACTTGACGGTACTAGTAGCATTAATGTTGGGTTGTTCCCATGGTTACCAATTGCAGCCAGACCTTACTTTTATTATTATTATTATTATTATTTCAAAATTTTAAAGGACACTTCACGCAGCTTCATTATACTTGAATCGTTTGCAGGCAACCTGCCTACACTCAAGAGAGCACTGCATTTCACACGAATCCATTGGTATCGTTACAACGTTTCGGTCTTTATGACCATCATCAGGAATGAAGTGGACATGGAAAGAACAGCAGTATAAAAGAAGGAGGCAAGCAAGCAAAGCGCGGTACATAGTAACAGCGCGCGTAGAGAAGTGCAAAGCACGTCATGGCGGGTGTGCATTACTACATGTACATGACAACACAAGCACAAACGGCGAGGAAAGTAGATACTGCGCTACAGCAGTGATACAAGCCCAGTTCCAGTCTCACACCACCAGTGAGGTGTGTAGAGCCCCGCGCCACTCGCAGTAAATAACAGCTGTATTCAATGCCGGCAAAGCGCACAGGTCAGTACAACAACATCCCATGCATGATGCTAAAGGTAGCTGAGCAAGAAAGAATAGATGATTGCAGACCATGGTAGAATGTGGAAGAGCTTGGCTACCACCTTTTATGGAGTATGCTCTTCCACATTCTACCATGGTCTGCAATCATCTATTCTTTCTTGCTCAGCTACCTTTAGCATCATGCATGGGATGTTGTTGTACTGACCTGTGCGCTTTGCCGGCATTGAATACAGCTGTTATTTACTGCGAGTGGCGCGGGGCTCTACACACCTCACTGGTGGTGTGAGACTGGAACTGGGCGTGTATCACTGCTGTAGCGCAGTATCTACTTTCCTCGCCGTTTGTGCTTGTGTTGTCATGTACATGTAGTAATGCACACCCGCCATGGCGTGCTTTGCACTTCTCTACGCGCGCTGTCACTATGTACCGCGCTTTGCTTGCTTGCCTCCTTCTTTTATACTGCTGTTCTTTCCATGTCCACTTCATTCCTGATGATGGTCATAAAGACCGAAACGTTGTAACGATACCAATGGATTTGTGTGAAATGCAGTGCTCTCTTGAGTGTAGGCAGGTTGCCTGCAAACGATTCAATTATTATTATTATTATCAAATTTTTGATGGGGGTTAATCACACACATCCGTTTTCCACAAAAAAATATCCGGATAGGCAAGGGAACCGGATAGGCGAACGTCGTTTATGCTGGATGCATCACGTATGCTGTAAAAATGTAATCCGGCAGCTCTTTTCTTCCGGACGGCGAGGGATCTGGATAAAAGAGGATCGAATAAGCGAGGTCTGACTGTAGCATTAGTGGCAGTCGTAGTTTGTTGTAGACACTCGAGTTGACTTGGCAATGCTCCATGTTATTTAAAAATGACAATTTATAATTATTATTATTATCATAATGAATCTTATCACGTCACCATGCATGGCCCACCGCACACATGCTCATGCACAGACTCAGTCAGTTCACAGTCAGTGCAATGCCTGCTGGAACGGGGTCCACCACCGCTGCTATACTGCTAGTGCGTTGTCGCCCCAGGGCAGCATGACTGTACAGTCATGTGGTATTGTAGATCTACAAACAGGACAGATTCCAGTAGACAGACTAGACATGATAGATTAGAATGATGTACAATCATGTAGTTCTGGACATCACGTACCGCTACTGAAGTCCGTACTGATCTTGGTATTTTGTCCACCCACGTAGACGCAGATGGCGACCGGACTGACGTCCCACATGACTCGTTGACACAGGCTGTCGGCTGCGTGTAAGGCCAGGTTGTCAATGCTGAGTGGACGTTGACCATTGTTGACATGATAACCATTATACCCTGGCCTAGGGCTGAACATCCGTGCGGTCCTCCCCTCTCTGATGAACTCGAGCAGGTCACACACACCATGGCGCCACGTCGAATCTCCGTAGATACCAGGGCTTGCTTGTCAAAACCGATGTTTTGAGGCACGACCTCCGCATTTTACTTTACAGTGACCATGGTGACTGTGTACTAGTCGTTAGTCGGAGACTGCGATCCGTCGACAGTCGGATTTGCACTTGGGCGATGATTGAACAATACCCGTCAGCGCCATTAGCATCGTGTGGAGTCTGGTGTGATTCCTAGCAAGTAGAATCCACCGTCCATACTGCTCAGCATCATTCCACTACAGACTAGTACAGTCCACAATTCTACCAACGGAACTCGGCGTGTTGGGAACTAAAATCGAGCCGGCCGAATCATCGGAGATATAGATGGAGATGAATATGGCATGCAAGCAACAGATCCTTCGTCGACGCGTCACCTCCTTTTCTGCCGACGCACTATGCAACTAAGCTGTTACATGTACTTGCAAGTGCATGAGTTGTGATAATGACAGTCGCTAGGCTATGGTATGGACAGACAAAACAACACACGAAGTCAAGTACCGGTATCCGTGCGCGCGTGATGCCATGCACTGCACTCACACTGCACTGCCACTGGGACACATCGACGTCTCATTGATTTCCTCCAATGGATTTCCAGTGGGCCCCACTCGACTCCGCTGCGGTATTTTGCTACATATCACAGCGAACGGTACGCGGTTCAAAGGAGCACTTACTTTACTACCTTTTGGCCTCATGAGTGCACTCACGTAACGTAGAACTACGAGAAAATCTCAATGACCTCAACTCAGCTCAAAAGGTTCAACACATCTGATTTCTCCCAGTGTTTTGGGCAAGAGTGTGGCTGCAACATTGATTGCTGTTGCGTTGGTGTTGTGCAATTTCTCGCGAAGGAAAGGCAGAGCAGAGATGCGGGTCGACCCTTGGTAACGTAGACGTACGTGGGGCGTAGGTCGCCGGTGGATCTAGAAGAAGAGCGTTCAGGAGATCGCTGGTCCAGTGATGGAAATATTTAATTTTCAAAATGAGATGTTTTCTTGAGCGTCACAAATGGCTCACAGAAGCCAGAACCGTAGTGCGCAACAGGTCGAGAAGCGCCATTCCCCAGAGGAGAGCAAGCATCGCATAAATCAGCTGCAGAACGTGGCCAGCACAAGCATGAATCCAGACTTGTCCTTTCTGTATGACCTGCTTCCAACCCAGAGCTTGCTGGCATACCCACCCAAGTAAGTTTTCAGCTTGTAAACATAATAGTTGTGAACAATGGCGACATGACATTGCGTGTTGCTGTCATCAAGATCAGTAAGATTCAGTGCATGTTGGTGAGAACTCCAGCATACGACATGACATCCCAGAGTTTGTATCCGTACTCTCTGCACAGCGTACTGGTATTCTGGGTCGGTAGTCCAATACTACTTCAAAGCATAATCAGTGGCAAATAGACAAGCAAATCCTTGAGCAAAGTGACAGTTTTAGTAATTTGTTGTGTTTTCAACAATTTATACAGCATTCAGTGTTGCCCATCATGCACACATGTTGATGCTACTTTGTATATCAGCACTATGCTACTCTGGTGTCGTTCAGTCGGCCTCCGACTTTTCAAACATTCTCACAAACTGCAGCTCCTGCACATTGCAGAAAGACTGCACCTAATCTAGAATAATTGCCTTGGGTTTACTTCAATTTGTCCTGTGACAGCGCCGTATGTCCAGCACCAGCAGAGGCGCCATGTTCAACACACAGCACCCTGCACAGTTTAGCCTGTGTTTAGCTAGCAGTACCCCATGCTGTACCGAAAGTTGGTTTTTGTAGACAGGTGGTCCTTCAACACAGGTCAACATGCATATTAGCTTTGCAAATTAAAACGGGGTCGGGTGTCGAAGAGGAGATAAGTATGCTCCAGAGCTGGCGTTAGCTTCAGTGCTGACTCGTTCACCCATACGTATGTGTGTGTGTGTGTGTGTGTGCATGTGTGTGTGCGCGTCGACGCACCCGTGTTCTGCACGCATTGCGTTGTGATTGCAGCGCAACAGGGTCGATAGCATCGCTGTTGCTGTCCAGCTCGCCGACGCCGCTGCTCAGCAGCCCGACGACGGTGGCAGGATCGTCGGCCTCAGCGACGGTGCAGACGACCACCTCCATTACGCCGCCGCCCCCACCGCCATTGCCGCTGCGGCCGGTCACCTCCCCGTCGTCCCAGGCGCCGGCCACATCCTTTGCTGCCGCTCTGGAGGACGCTGGCGCGACCGCTGCATCGGCAACGAGCCACACGTCGGGACGGTCACTGAAGCGCAATGTGTTATCAGAAGAGGTACGGTGTATATGTGTACGCGTATGCAACTGTTGTACTGGCGGTGGTGTTCTCTCTGCATACATGTATCTGAGCCACATTAACACACGTGTATGCTATAGGACCTGTTCATCTGATGAAACAACGATACTTAGCAGAAGCCGGTCAGGTATTTGAATTTTAACTTGTTTCTTTGTGTGACCATGTTCCCAAGGACTCTTTTTGTAGTTGGTGTGCGTGCGTGTGTGTGTGTGTGTGTGTGTGTGTGTGTGTGTGTGTGTGTGTGTGTGTCCCCCCCCCCCCCCCCCCCTAACCTCTCTGACAGTACCTCCCATCTGGGAGCGGCGTGGCCAATTCTGGCAGCTGTCAATAGTAGTAGTAGTAGTAGTAGTAGTAGTAGTAGTAGTAGTAGTAGTAGTAGTAATAGTAGTAGTAGTAGTAGTAGTAGTAGTAGTAGTAGTAGTAGTAGTAGTAGTAGTAGTAGTAGTACAGTCAGTATCGCCTATAGCGTTGGTGTTTGATTTTGAGCATTTTATCACTATAAGCGATATATTACTATGACCGATACTGCATGCAATGTATGCGAGTGGGGTGTCAAACGACTCAGCGCGCCGTGCACATACGCACTACATACATGTACAATGTCATGTAGCTGGCTGTAGCTCCGGACACACAAAATCAGGATTTCCTCATGATGGAGGCATATTTTGGCAACTTGTACAAGCAAAACTCACCAAACAACACTCACTGGACAAGTTCTTCACGAAGAAGTAACACCCTGTTCTCCTCTGACATCGCTTGATTTCACATCAATCACTATAACCGATGCAAAAATAGTGTAATAAACATCTTTTGAAATATGAATTTGATCACTATAGGCGATATATTACTATAGACGATTATTACTATACGCGATAACTGTGTATACTTAGTTATGACAAATGAAAATGAATTTGAGAAATTGATCACTATATCCGGTATATTACTATAGCCGCCAACCTTATAGGCGATACGGACTGTAGTAGTAGTAGTAGTAGTGTGTGTGTGTGTGTGTGTGTGTGTGTGTGTGTGTGTGTGTGTGTGTGTGTGTGCCACTTAGCTGCTATGGCTTCTGCTGTAGCATCGCTATCATCGCCTCTGGCGATGGGCGTCCAATGGTCCAATGGTGTGCCACTTCAATCAGCTGTGTGGTGGATACCAGGCTAAAAATTAATGGCGGTCAATTCATCAGCCTTGCAACCTGTTGAATGGTGTAATCCCAGCACAAGTATTAGCTACATGTATGTCTAACGTAGCTGTTCGCTATCATCGCTTCCGCGAGCGGCAGGTCTGAGGTGTGTATGTGTTTTTTCTGTCTGCCTGTGTGTTTGTCTGTGTGTGTTTTTTTGTGTTTGCTTGTTTATGCACACATTTTTATGTTGTGTTTGCTTGTCTGTCACAGGTCTTGTCACAGGAGGAGGAAAGCTCTGCGCAGTGCTCACGTATATTTGAATCGCAGGAAAGGTACTGTATCAGTAGAAACATTCGTCTGGAATTTAATTTCGTCTTTTTCGTCCAATAAGCTTTTGGACTAAATTAAATGCCAGACTAAAGTCGGTTTGTCCAGCTTTTCAATGCACTCTTACGATCCATGGACGAAATTTACAACCGGACAAACTCCCTTTCTTTGGAGTGGGACGAAATTATTGACCGACGAAATTTTCTGCCTGTACAGTATGCTATCCTTCCCTTTTTCTTTTCTCTGTTTCTCGTATAGTATGTACACCATCTACAGTTGTGCTCGCTGAAATCCGACCTAAAAGTGCACAACTGGCGCCCTGCACCCATATCGATTACACTACTGAACGTGCACATGCGTACGTCCAGCATCATTCGCACCACTTCCAGGGTGTCAAGGGCCATGCAACTTCAGGGCGCCGAATATGCACTTCCGGTCGGATTTCACCGAGCGCAACTGTAGTAGCCAGACTCGTGTGTATGTAGTTGGTGGTGTACAGACGCTGGCCACAGTTCTGTATGTTTGATAAACTACGGTTGTACGTCAGCTACCGCTTTTTTATCTGGTTGTGTAATAGGTCATAACGGTCGACCTACAACCAGAAAAGTGCGATAGGAAAATTTCTAACAGCCTTCATCGCACTCACACGAATCATGCCTCGGAGAAATGTCACAGTGAATACAATGCCGTAACAGTCCGTGAATAAGTACCTGCCCGAAATAAATACCCCCTTCATTCTTTTGAATCTGTCTGTTGAAGTCAAGTCAAGCCTGATAGACATACTACCCGAGATAAGTACAGGTACGGTGCGCACATGCAGCATGTAACATGTACATATCCATGAAATGACTTCTCCACTACACACAAGTTAGGTCCGAAAGTAAGTTCGTGCCCGAAAGTCAGTACCCGCCCGAAAGTTAGTACGGGCGTGGCCACTAAATTCAAGAGTAAAAAATGTACTTATTTACGGAATTTTACGGTAGGCCATTGGGTGCAGGTACCAACCTGAAAGCAGCCAGTGCAATGCGGTGCTTGAATTCTGCTCTTCCTGGTCTTCTCCGCAGATTCGAACATGTTCTGGAAGCGCCAACGTCCATGATGACACCTCGAGGCGAAGACACCGTCACCTACCTCAACAAAGGTGAGGAAGACCAACTAGAACATGCACCGCACAACAAGTAACTACGTGTTATGGGTGACTTTCTCTTGCTGAGATGAGTGCTGCGACATGATATTAGGGTGTGTATTGACTCGATTTTGCTGTTGAGGAGGGATATGGCGGTGTCTGTTATTTGTGGAGGCTGGATTCAGACTCGGCTTGTCTTTTTTTGGTGCAATTGGATTGCTCAACCAACTGAGTGCCATCGTTGTGGGTCAATGGATGACAGTTGCAGTCCTTTCGAAACTTGTTGTGCCTGGGCCTTTTTTTTAATTTAGACCAAAAAACACTAATTTCATTGCACTTCGGTAAGAAGTGGATATTGGATCTACCAGTCGAAACATTGATCAATGCTACGCCTTCCTGATTGTGGGAAATTTGGCAGAATATCTAGCCGCCTAGTGGTCCACTTCATGGAATGGACTTCGCAAACGAATCTCAGCTGCCGTTTGGCATGGGGTTCTGTTATGGAAACAATTTCGCGGTAAACTTGTTTTGTCGATTCTTGGTCCTATACACAACCATGGGTATATCTGAATGAGATATCCCTTATTAAAGATGCCCTCTTGGGCAATAATTTGGAAAGCATTTGAAGGATTTGGAGAGATTGGGAGAGATGTAAGAGATGCTGTTTTTCTGCCTGCGGCAGTAGCATGCTCTGAACAGGAATGTGTATTTTAAATTGTTTGTGTTGCGCGTATACAGGTCAGTTCTATGCCATCCACTCGTCGTACAACCACGCCGACACCGACGGGGAGCTGCCAGCGCTGGTCAGGGTGAGTGTGGAGGAGTGCCGGCATCACTAGAACTACTTCTTTAAAGAGTTCTTTTCACTCTTGGATTGAGCGCTCTTTCGAGCTGCCTCGACCGGCCTGGTGTCTGTACTTCTTGTCACATACACATGTACGTGTGCTTACAAAAGAACATTTGCCGAGATTGAGAGTATGTTCCTGGGTGCATCACTTTAAAAGCTCATCTGTTACGTGGCTGTACGAGGACGCGTACATGCTGTGCATCTATATTGGTATCCTACTACATTCATCCTAGCAGTGTCGACTAGTGGCCAGGGCCCTGTAGTTATAGCAGCTTTCTGACCCTTGCAGTCGCACTGTGACCAGTGTAGTATGTACGTGTTCGGCTTGCATCTACGACTTGTAGTACTAGTACCCTGTCTTAGGTCTCTGATAGGCCAGCCTGATGTCAGGTTTCGTGCCGATTTCTAAGATCTGTTTCGTATGCCGTCTATTTGTGCATTGTTGTGCATCCAGTCGGAAGTGTATCTGGTGTTCCGTGAGGAGAAGGATGCGCAGAGTGAGCTCGGCTACTGGGATTATTGGCACAGTCAGCAGGCCAACCCCAACCAGCGCGGCCTCGAGATTGGTAAGTGCAGCCATGTGACAGGTAGCAGAGAGAGACAGAGAGAGACAGAGAGAGAGAGAGAGAGAGAGAGAGAGAGAGAGAGAGAGAGAGAGAGAGAGAGAGAGAGAGAGAGAGAGACAAGGAGAGAGAGAGACAAGGAGAGAGAGAGACAAGGAGAGAGAGAGAGAGAGAGAGAGAGAGAGAGAGAGAGAGAGAGACAAGGAGAGACAGAGAACGCTATCATTAATTTTTCATGTGTCCACTCCTATTCACTTGGTGAGGACATGTGCTGGTGGATACTATAACTACAACACACTCACGAATAGGTACACTCTTCGCCAACTCTACAAGGAAATTGACACCACGAACCTACCAGTACGGAATATGGAAGAAGCAAAGATGTTAAACGGATGTCGCAGGAGCGTCTTACGTAACGGCGAGATCAGCCAGCAGCATCATTGGCCTGAAGTGCTATTCAGAGCTGTTTGACTGTGCATGCTGCAGCGTTGCTGTTTAACCTCATGCTAGTCAGTGGTGCTAGATGATGTATCTGGAGCTTTGTGACTGCGACGTGCATGTACTTAGAGATGAAAAATGTATTTTTTCTGTTTGTAATGGTTCCTGACTCTCCGTCGCAATTCTGGTCTTTGCTTTTCCATGCAACTCAGACCAGCGTTCGTTCCGCAACATCCAGGAAGTGGATACAATCGCCAACAATGCCTACTCGTTCAAGTGGAATCCGGCAGAAACAGCAAGGGTATGTGTGCACACTTCTGTGCCTTCTGGCACTCTCCACTTTGTTCCGGGGTTTACCCAAGCATTGTGAAAGAATTTTGAAAAATCTCAGCCAATGCAGGTCTTTGGGGGGGGGGGGGGGCGTGGTGTATAACAATGCAGGTCTTGTTTAGATAATACGCCCCTACTTTACTTGATAATGAGTAGAGGGGCTCAGGTCCCTGTCGGATGTATGCAATGTGCCGTGAATTGTACAAAAGGCTGTGCGGAAGATCATGTAATGCACGTGGCGTTTATGTCTTGTTCTGGAGGCTATCTATGTACATCTATGTGCTTTATCATGACTCGACCTGTGACTTATGCTGCCAACTACCAAGGATGCTGCATGTTCCTCTCTGCTGCAGCGTGTTCCTAAAACATTTCCTTGCTGCTTTTTGATTTACCATGCTCTCTCCTCTATTCCTGTTGCTTTAGGTGGTGGTCCGAGTGAACTGTCTCAGCACAGAGTTCTCTACACAGAAGGGTGTCAAGGTAGGACATGCATCCAAGGAACTAGCCAGCTCAGGGTACTGGTGCCCGATTTACGAAATTATAGTCTCTTGAGAATCGATTCAGAAATTCACGACTCGTTTCTGGCAGTGTTGCGTTTATGACGTTCCACGTCTGCTTCGCTAATAGTCCTTATGCACATTGTACAGATGTACGAAGTTCTGTACTAGGGCCGTAGGTGTGTACATACCCGGTTGGGTGTTCATTGTGTGCTATACATGCGTGTTTGACCCATTTAGCCTCATAATTCGCGGCGAACAATCACTTTTCCAGCTTCTTCACTTTGGGATTGAACTAACGACTCGCTAGATCACTGTCGAAAAAGTGTTCGTATGAAATGCCTTCAGGGCCCATTTCGCTGTGGAAATAGCAATAAACACAATA